TTTAACTCAGAAACTTAATATGGTCATAGTCAGCTCAGACACAACTCATTATGACAAAAAATAAACGTGTAGTTTTATCTCTATGGGAAGCTTCTGTAACAAAAGCGCAATTTCAAAATGTGAGCATCTTAAGGTTCTAAATGAATTCCATTATTTTGAGGCTACCGGCGGTAATTTGCCCACAAAGAAAAGAAGAAGCACATAAAGTGCAGCACCTTACTGATGTGCACCAACATAATTTGCATTTGGCATTCTCCCGAGAGGAACCTCAGCCGTAACCGAGGCACAGAGATGCTTATACCTGCCTTTTCTTCAGCTTTTGACTTTCAGTGTGTGCTCATTAGTCTGACTGCTGCAAACGCATTTTTTAAAGAAAAATACAAGATGCAAATGTACAGCTGGATTGGCTTGTAACTGAAATGTAAAAGAGGGAAAGTTTTTGTTGTAGCATCATAGATAAATGTCAGCTGCAGCTTTTGACAAACCATCACAACTTCTGTCAAAAATATGTAATTATGATAAATCAACACAGTAGCTTCTGCAGCGTAACACTAATGTCTTCACAAATCAAAACTCCTTCATCATACTTAATCTGCTTATCGCACCAAAGGGGTCCACGCTGACCCACTTACATTCCCACATGGTAATTTTTCATTTTCAAACCTACAGCCTGAGGTTTATCATATCAGATTTTTAAGAAATGTCAAACCCTCCGTGTTCCTGGGCTGCTTAGTGGTCTGGTTCTGTGTTAAATTACTTGACATGTTCACCAGGATCAGAAGCCCTAATGGATCCTGTGCGGCCCCTGTGTGTTATGCAAATGAAGGTGTTTTAATGAAGGTTTCATAAATAATTCAGGAGTGATATTTTGCTGCAGACACACTGCAGGAGCAGACGCACAGGAAAAGAATGATTTTAGAAAATATTAACTGCTGTTGGATGTTTTTTTTAACTCTCTGATAACCAGAATTGTTCATCACTTTCTCATTAGCAAACACCTGCAAACTGAAATAACGCATTTAATTGGCTTGTAAATCACCGGAGGTGCACTCATTCTGTCTGCTCAGAGTCTCTCAGACCTCTGCCAACCATTTGACACTGAATAATATACAAAAATTAAAAAAAAGGCATTATATGGTTTCAAGCTGAGTTTGTCTTTCCAAGACGTTGTTTGCACAACACTTGGTTGGAGAAACAAAAGAGAGCCGGTTTTTGTGGATCAACTGAATTATTATGAGAAATGCTTTGATGCACTAAGTGAGCAGGTGGAGTGTTAAGAAAAACATTTTTTTTTTCCATTTAGCTGTGCAAGTTAAGCGTGTAATTTTCACATGATGCACAGTTTCAGCAAACATTTATGTACGGGTGGTGGTTTGTGCCAAGATGTTGTTGTGACAGTCAAGCAAGGAAGGTGTGAATTATTTTTCACCCACGCAACACTTAAAAGTCTCTTATCTGATTCCTCAGCAGAAGTCAAGATGAAATCTTTTACAGGATCAAACTCGGGATGTGTTGACCTTAAAAGGGACCCGCACGGTATTCTCTAATGAAACACACATCTGAGTAGTTTCAACCGTTATTCATCAAGCTGAAAGCATCATCGTTGCCCAAAACTAAATCCGATGCAAGCTTGGTTTTTCATCACCTGCACCTGCTGCTTCTAACTTCCAGGTACAGAAACACCGTGCAGATCCAAACACGCGTCCGCTTTATCATCAGCAGATGTCTCCACAAAAAGCCCGGCTCTGTTCAGTGGCATAGCCATGCTGACTCAGTAACCATATTACCGATGCATGTCTCATTAGTTCCTGCCATGGCTGAGTGTCCCTGCTTCCTCCTGTTCAAACACACACGCTCACAAAAATAAATAAATAAATAACACACACATGCACACAGACATCCACTCAATTGCTGGCTGGCATTTGAGAGTGTCTGGGCTTGCATCTAAAGCAGTTTACTGGGAAAATAATAGCCCTCTAAAAGGATTCTCTGTATGCAGAATCATCCAATTCCATTTGAACTCTGGTGAGATAAATTAAATTTCAGCAGAAGGGGAGCCATGTTGGGATGAAAAGGGAAAAGAAGTGAGCAGAAACAAGAGAGAAACACATAAACTGGTTAGTGTTTTTTTTTTTTTTTCAGGAGCCGCTGTGAGGGAGATAGCTTTTATTCAAGACATTTTCCATTTGGATGTTTTCTTTTTTGTAAGATAGAATCAATAGAAGCTACAGGTTGGGAAGTTTTAATTAGAAAATGCATTTTCGGCTGTTCCCATAACAGGAACCTGCAAGAGTGTCCAGATTTAAAGCGTCACTCCTGAGTATTCTTTCCAGATCTGGTTTCTCTAATGAAAAGCCATCAAAAGCAAGTGAAAAATAAATCATTTTCACTGGGTGAAAAGGTGAAAAAAAAACAATTATTATTGGCAGCGTAAATATGTTTCTGCCCGAAAATGTCTTGTTTTCTTACCTGGTTAGATGCTCGCGCAAAGAAAGTTTGTGTTTCAGTCTCAAAACCTGCAAAGCCTTAGCTAACATTGATTTCACTTGTACAGATTCCTCTGCTGTAATTTAGTTTAATGCTGTTACTTTAAAAAAAAAGATCACACACAAGAGGAGATGGTTTTCCTTAAGAGTATCACCGTTGACCTCTCTGTGAACCCACGAATGTTCAATATTGATGAGATTTTCATGGCCATCCTGTTACCGCCGTTAACACACTCTGAGAATAAACTCTGAACCTTCCTCGTGTTTTTTGCAACGAGCCTTGTCCTTGTAGACTCAGTCGCTTTAAAAATTCATACAACGCTGACTGGAGTATGCAGCGTGTGTGAGCACCTTATCGATTTCCTCCCACGAGGCAATTTCCCCAGCACTTGGCCTGAATATCAGCTCCGATCAAATCGAATGGGAGGAATTGATCGACTTTAAGCTCAGGTTAGCATTGCAGTGGGTGCATCCTAACACAGCTTCAACCTGAGCACAAGACATGCAGCAAGCCTGCTTTACTTGATGGGATTCAGGTTTGGTTAACGTCCAGGTGATTGTTTCAAATCATGACCGTTAGGACTTCTGGGTCATCTGTGCATCCTCGAAACGACTTCAGTGCAAAATAAAAAGCTGCTTGTGCGACACTAGAGGTGGCCCTGACTAAAGGAATCATTTGCTGTTGTTTAGGGGATTTAACGTTGCACAGAGAAAGCAATTTTAAAACGGATGAGAGCGTAATCCCTGACAATACAGGGATTATCTCTTTAAATGACCTTTATCTTGCCATGAGGCATTGAGTGTTTCCCAGCTCCTTTCATCCAGGCTCTAGTTTGATCACAACAAGAATATTTATTCATAATTACCAAGTTATACAACTGCATGAAAAATGTAAAACCAAGGTGAAAATGCATTTTTATGAGTTGAGAATCAGTTTTGTAGCTTTAAGTTTATCCCAGTTCATGGTGCACGATTTTCCTGCTTGTTTTCTTTGTTAGCTTCAGCTCCCTGGTGTTTACTTAGCTCAGATCAAGTCAGGTGAACTAGTTTTCTTGATGTGGGGAAGGGATCATGTTTTATTTTTGACCAACGAAGCATAAACACTCAGATTTGTCTGGTTGCCATGTTAACTTCTGTTTCTTCAAAGGTACAAAATTCCCTCCTCCGACAATTCGATAAGAAAAACAAATACAGCTCTGGTTCAAATAGTTGGAGGCTTGGGTCTTGTATGAAAGAAGATCAAATACAAACTATTTCATTATATTTCCTCCCTTTATATTTGGTTTGGTTTGGAATGAAGGTTTTATCATTCTTGTTGATCATTGTGTCTTTTTGACTGTCTGGAGATCAGATCCAATGATTTATGAGTGCAGCTGATTTAAATGTAAAGTACTCCCCACCCTTAATTGTAATATGAATCATTTGCAGCTTTAAATTATATTGCCAATGTGGCTGTGAAGTGTCTGTCATTATTTAAAAGCACTAAATAATGTTACTTCATTGGCATTTCTTTTATTAATTTAGGACTAGGGATGCACCGATACAATACTGGTCTCGGTATCGGTGCTGATACTGAGACCAGTATTGGTACCTGTAAATGTTAACCGATAACAATGCAGTTGCTTGAAAGTGGATTCACTGTGATTCGTCATTTTTGTTCCCCTAATATTTTAGTTTTATGATAATTTCTATTAATATATTTTATTTTTTATCAGTCTCAGTCTTTTCCTCTTCCAGAGAAGAAAATAAAACCTGTATTTCAATTGATTGCATTATTTTGTGTGTGTGTGTGTCTGTGTGTGTGCGTGTGTGGTAGAAGGACCGGTAACGGTAATCGTATCGGCGAGTACTCAGTTCCAAGTATCGGTATTGTATCGGTTTGGAAAAAAGTGGTATCATTGCATCCCTATTTAGGGCAAATAATAATGTGTAACATTTCATTCAAAAACTTTTTCTTTACCTCCTCCAATTGTCAAGCTCTGCAGACGCCTGTGTGTGAAAAGAGCAAAACAAATATGCTCGACTGGATTTGGTGAAATAAATAAAAATGATCAATATTTGAATGGAATGTTTAACCTTTTTTTTACACAAAAATTGTAATATGTTTTAGAAATTGCATAACCAATTTCCCCCTACATCAGCTGCGGGTTTTGAGCCTAACTAGATATTTTTTGTATAAGTGAACAGAAAGCATTAATAGAGAAGAATTATTAAAATACCTGAGGATAAACGGCAGTGCCTCAATCATGCTGTAATCCTGGAATGTAAAGGTTGATAAATTAAAAAGGCCCAAAACTTTAAAGGAGGGTGATAAATTGGCTGCATTTTCACTTCAGAGCTGGTGGGACCATGAGGCAAATGCTCAGTTCATCAATTAGCTTTGACGAGTTCTACGAATAGTCAATTTAAGAAAATCCTAAGAGAGAGGAGCTTCAAAACACTTTTGACTTTATTCCTCTTGTTGCAAACAGACTCACAGCTGAAGTCTTATCAACAAACCAGAGATCAGATAGAAAAAGTTAAACATGGGTTTATTTCTGAGTTCACATTGTTCTTTTCATAGGTTAGATCCTGTTTCTTTAAAAAAAAGCCAAGTTTAAAAAAGAGATCTGCTGTGTTGATATAAAAGGAAGACAGTTCATAATAAAAAGTTATCAGTATAAACATACATTTTCAAATGTACAGGAAACATCTCAAACAGGTGAACAAATATTACTCATCTCTGACACGTTATTGGTCTTGCAGGTTTATCTTTTGTGAATGACTGAACAAACAAGTATGGATTACCTGGATTTTTCATATGTAAAAGCAGAATTGTGTTAATATTTTTAATCTTTCATGTTTTTAAAAGTAATTTCATCATTATTGTTAGCATAAAGTCACTGTACAAGGCTTTTGATTGCGGCTGACAAGTATAAAATTTCAATAATAAATCATCAAACCTAAGTTTTTAGATCATTTGTTTACAGTATGTACAAAAAATCATGTTTTTTTTACACTACTATGAAAAATCTTTCCCCCCCTTTCTGTCAACTGTAAAAGCTTGCTAATACCTGAGTGTCTTTCTTATTCTACCATATTTATACTAGGTTTAATATCATGGCAGCGGAAATTCAAATGCATTGTTGGAAGATTTGAAGAAGGCTGTTTCAGCAGGAGCTTTATGCCGTGACAGTACTGAGTCCGTTGGGTTCGTTAATAGAGCCCTTGTACTTGGGTCCAGAATATTCACCAATAAATGAGCCATCCTCATTGAACTCTTCCTCTCCATCTGTGTAGTCAACCAAGCTGTCTCTGCTGATGCTGTCCTCCCCGTCTCCGAAATGCAAGCTCACTCTCTTCAGCGGCTTTTCATCGTAGTCACTATCACCGATTTAAAAAACAGAAGAGTGGTCAATTATGAAAAAACATGCTACAGCAAGTAGAATTTTAAAGAAATTCATCTAAAAAACACACACACACACACACACACACACACATTTCTTGAAACAGCAGCAATTGTACACTGTGTCTCATTCATGGGTGATTAAAACCTTTGCTGCATCGTTCCACAAACAAATAGCTTTGGTTGTGCTTTTATATGCTACATCACTACAGGCAGAAGGCACAGGCGACTGCACAGCAGGAAAGGGAGCACACAGGAGGCGAGAAGGGCTTTCCACAATCACTTCACTAATTGCTAATTGCCAAGGCTCCAGGACAAAAGGCAATTTCAAATCTCTTTAGAGTCAGCGATGGAAATTGCCAGAGTGCAGTGAGAAAGATGTCGAGTGTTGGGGGTTTTATGTATTGGGTAGGGGCGAGTTGGTGAGGAAAGCTAGTATTGGGGGAGGGATCCATATGCGATCCCAGACAAACAGCCTGTCATTCCTTGTATTCCCAGGGGCTTGCACGTGAGCCGAGGAGATTAGATGCCAATTTAATGTTGGGCGAGTGGCCAAGTTGCAGGTGTCTCACTATGAGATGAGGGGTCACCTCAGAGCGCTATTTTATTCCCACTTTGGCCTTGTTATAAAATTCTTTTGAACCCTCCATTTGAAAACATAAAAATAAACCATCTCTTCTTTCTTCGTCTCATATTCACAACACAAAGCATGGACAAAGACTCAGGTGGCTCATACAAGATAGCACCACTCCAGGCGTATTACAGTTGACACTTGTGTTAAAATTGAGCACAATATTGTGAGAGGGATTTAGCCGTGGTGAAAAGAAAATCTTACAAACTGGGTCTCCTTCATGTGGACTTTTAATAACAAACCTTATCTGTCCTACTTTGTAAAGCCATTTATGATGCAAGCCACATAAGGTCCACATTTCACTCCCTTCTTTCCCCTCATCTTTTTCTTATCGAGCCTACTTTCTCTGACGACTCTAGAGCACTGAAGATAAGTGGCTGTTATCTAAGAGCAGTGAAATGCCACTGCTGCCGCCGCCCGCCCGCCCACAGCGACTTTGAATACGGTGACAAAACGGGGCTGAGAGCCGTTGAGCCCCAGCTCATCCAAGGCCTTGTTTGGTATCAAACCCCAATCGGAATGCAAAACTGTTCCCTTAGTTTTCCAATCAGGTAGAAGGGAGGAGATACGGGCACATTAACTGGATGGAAACGAATCATATTTGTCTTGCCACTGACCCGTGTTGACTTGGTTTGGATGCAGCACAGAAACTTTAGGTGTAGGCAGGTTTTTGTTCCTTCCACTTTGTTGTTCATGTTGAATTCATTATATTTGTCATCAACGTTTTACCAATTTGCACATTACAATTAGAAGATGGGGGCATAAATGTGGGGGGAAATGCATAAAATACAACAATTAAAGCGGCAAAGGAAAATAAAATTGCATCACAGTTTCAGCTAACAGCATATGACACCAGCTGTTCTCATAATGGACAGAGGGGTAAAGCTGTAGATGGCTGTCTGCGAATAGAAATCACCAGAAACATAATTACAACTTGTCAGCTCCCCAGACACATGGCAGACCAGTGGGTGGTCTATTGCCTTTAGAGATTCAAAGGGCATAAGAGAGCCCTGAATCTAGCTCTGAGGCCAGCAAAACAACATCATAGTAAGGTTAAGGGCACTCTGGGGGTGACAATGCAGCAAACAGCCTCATGAAACCAACCATGAGAAGCATTCTAAACATTTAGCTGGAGTCCAAAAACTAGAAAATGCTCACAGACCAATTCCAATGCTTCTCCAGCGTGGTGGGCTCATAACTGCTCTTGTTACGAGAGCCAAACGTTTACTTCCCCCATTTATTTATTTATTTATTTATTTATTTATTTATTTCTACAAGTGAAAGAAACGTTTTAAGGGATGAACTTAGTTTGAAGAAACAAAGACCATTTCTTTGTTGTTTATTATATATAGATTTTAGGAAAACTCGCAAATTATTTGTAAATATCTGTGTAATATTAAAATCACAGCCGTAGAGTCCAAGCCCCAAATAAAGACCATGGCTTTTTAATCACACTAAACATTTAGTTTTGAACATATCTGTTTTCTTTGCAAGTTTTCCCATTGGTGATTATTTTTCTGCATCAGCCAGTATTAGTGGGACGGATTCAACCCTTCATGAAATGGAACCAAGGACCAGAAACGTTGCAAAATTGCCCGAAGGCTGCACTCTGATCACCCTTCCATCTATAAAATAGCTTGCATGGGATCCTTGCTGCTGTTAATTTAAGATGACCATGAAGCAGTTTAGAACAAACCCTGTTGTGACTCGCTGTTACAATTATTGTGCTGACGTTAATTTCCTCAAACCAAAGTTGTTCAGCAAACTTTCCATCAGCTGGAACTATATTCACCAAAATGTCAGAACTGGCCCTTTAACAGACTGCAGTTTTATCCACACTAAACACGTTTCGTCATCTGACTGAAAACCATGAAATATGCTCATTGTGAGGCAAATCGAGATACATGTGTTTATAGTTTATTCCTACAATTTCCTGTATAACAGAACTGGAGTGTTGGTAAGAGCCACAGAAATGAACCTGGCGGCAGTCACACAATTGTGAGTAATCGTGTTCTGAACAATGTGATAACAAGCAGAATCAAAGTAGACAAGGTTATTTTGGGGGTTTCTGGTCTAACAATAATACTATTGCTACACTAGTGTTGCAGTGCTGTCAAACAAAACAGGATGCAGCTGATTTGCAGCAGCAAACCACTGCAATTCATCAGCTATTTCAAATGAAAGCAGTTGTCTGTTTGCTCAAAGCTTTGGTGATTTTAACCCATTTTCTATGCAGGGTTTATTGAATGCAAAATTCTAAAATTATATAATCTATAGTGGAAGCTTCCCATCATTGTTTGCAAAATATACACCTGATTCAATATGTGAGTACAGTTTTAGGGTAAATCCTTTCTTTTTTTCTGGTTCTGTGATGGTTGAAGTGATAGTGGGACAATTGGATGAATGCAGAGCTTGAAAGTATACATTTAAATTACATTTCTGGGCAACATTTTTCAAACATTTTAAAAGTTATACAGAATTAATCACTAGTGTGAATCCATTTTTAAAAATTGGAGAATATAAAAAAAGCTTTCAGATTCAGGTTATGTGACTAAAGGTCAACAGAGAAATGACTCATCATTGGAATCATTTTATGAAATTGTATTATCTCTGTCTTCTCCAAAGTACCAGTAGATCTAATTACAGGCATATTCACAGAATCATAATTATCTATAATAACAGGGTGGGGGTGACTTTTTGGGAGCGTAATTTAATGCACTGGTGGATGCTGCGCACCTAATATGAATGGTAAAAGGTCATTTTTTTAAATTTAACTATTGATGCTTTTCTACGGTTTACCATGGAAACAAACCAGTAGTGAAGAAAATAAAGACCCTTTCCCACTGACCAAAAAACTAACATCTGGCTCATCAACTACTCAAGGTTATTAGTCAGCTCCAATTAGCATTCGCAGGTGCACACGGCAATTTCTACTGACTGTGCTCTGGCTTACTTTTTCAACACAGACAACACATTCTCACACCCAAGGGGTCAAAATATGATGCGTGTGACCAAGTGTCATTATATGACGATTCGGGATGCCCCAGCGCGTCAGGAGACGATGATCAGGGGCACACTGGGTCACGCGGCTCCGCTGGCGTCACTGCTTGACGCGCGCGGTCACACGGACATTATTCGACTATTTAACCTTCCCCTCACCCCAATCCTAACCTTAAGGTCCATAAACTGTGACCTTAAGGTTAGGATTGGGGTGAGGGGAAGGTTAAGTAGTTCACAAGTAGTTGTAATGTCCGTCCCACCACCGGCGTCGGATACCGGCGCTCTGGGACGCTGCGTCAGCTGTTTGTCCCTGATCGTCGTCTCCTGACGCGCTGGGGTGTCCCGAATCGTGACATATTGACACTTGGTCACATGCGTCATATTTTGACGCCTTGGGTGTGAGAAAGTGTTGTCACAGAATGAAATTGTAAAGTGCCTTGAAGGGGGTGGGCGTTTAGAACCCTAGAAAGCACCATATCAAATGCAGCAACAACAAGAGACTGCATTTAGCCATTTGTTTTGATGTTGGTAATACATTTGAAAGAGCGAAACAAACACTAAAATGTGTACTGCTGAGTTGGACTGTGGGCAGTTTGCTTGGTCTGAATAATAACAGATGTTGGATTGCAAATTTTAACCATTTCAAATAATTTTATCAGGAAATGTAAGAGAACAAAAATGTGTTTTGCAATATTATCAAGTATGTAAACAATACAGTTTATGCAACAGCCCCCCAGTTTAACGCATCCTGACTCTTTAGCCAGCTGAGTCACTTCCGGGTCATAGTAATGTCGGTGGCATTTTCACGGGATTGCTGCAGGGCCTGCAGCAGATAACTGTCAAAAAGATAATCCAGGCCAAATATAAGACACCAAAACCAAATAAAGACAAAGATTCCACATGGTATGTATCCAACTAAATTCAAAAGTATGAAGGTGGGTTAACAAACCTCTGCTTTGGGTTGCAAAATCATGTTTGAAAGAGTTTTTTTGTTTGTTTCTAAAATAACTACCTAATAAAGTTCTTAGTGCTGCTTGCTCACAATGCTAGTAAAGAGTAAGCATGTATCAACCTGAAATAACCTGTGGCATTAAAAAAAGTACCTTAAAAGGTTAGGTGTTCTTCTGTATTTAGGTTAAAGAACATTTAATAGTTAGAAATATTTGGCAATACTTGGTAAATAGGTGGGATCTTCAAACTTTTAACAGAGGTCCATCTCCTGAGGTTTTTGGTCCATTTTAACCAACGTTTTCACGACAGCTACAGAAACTTGTAGACTTTTTGACAGAAACGAACACATTTCTGAAAGTTAGTCAGTTATCTAACACACAACTGTAAACACCATCTCAAACACTACATTAATTAAAGGTTGAATATGGAACACGAACACCATACCGACATCTAGTGTGTGGAGGTTGTAGGTGCAACAACAGAACATGGTTTCCAGCCGTCGGGAGGCCAGGTTTGCTGCAGGTACGCTTGCTGAGCAGACTGTTTACCATATTTGGCAACCCACAGTGGTGCCCTCTATTGACTGGTTGATGCCCGTTAAAATAAATATTTAATTAATTTTAATTAAAATATTACTTTTACAAAAAAATACTTACTTACTTCTGCACACCTCTAAATGCCCCGTGGAGGTATTATTTTTTTAAATGTAGCTTTTTATTACATTGTTCCATATTCAACATTTAAGCATGCCAAATACACACTATCAAACACGTACTGACACAAAAAGGTAGTTGTGACTAATTCACTCTAAAAAGCAGAAACATGCATACCACCAGAATCTCACCACAAAGTAAAGGCACTTAATTTGAGTTCAAAGGGAACAAAGCTTAAACTGAGTTCTACTCACTACTTTTTAGCACACCGTGTGATTACCTAGCTCAGTAAATGATGGGAACACTGGCTTCCCGGGTGATCCTGGGAAGGGTTATGAATGCTTGGTTTGCTTTTAGAATGGGAAGGAAAAAATTACTGTGATTTGTGACCAATTTGTTTCTCATTCAAAAACATCTTTTCCTAAGTGACTGTTAAAGCCCACAACTACTGCTTGAACATGATTTATGCAGGGTTAACAAGTGATTTCACTACCACGTGTCTGCACAGAGAAATCAGCTCACCCATAGTCAAGCAACTCGTCGTGGATTCCTTGTGATTCTACGTCAGGGTAGAGATCCTCCTTCTCTTTCACTGCAAGAAGGGGAGAAAAGATGGCTCAGGGTCATTTTTTTCAAGAACAGCACTTTGTGTGGAAAAGTAGATGCAGTTTGATTGCATGCATCTAAAATCCTAAATAAGATTACTGTAACTGATAATACATTTAAAGCCACTTATATTTGACAAATTCATACAATAACACAATTTACTCAACACCTTTCCATAAATGCCTTCATTTGTGACCAAAAATAAGATTTGAAAATAAAAATAGCACAACAATTGTTAAATTTGACTTCTTAAGCACTGCTTTCAGCATTTTCCATGAATATCCTCTCTTCTGCATACGTGTGCTAAGTGCTGTCTACTCCTTGTGCAAATATGCTTTAAAAATACCAGCTGCTTTAGAAAGAGACAAAGGAGGAGATTGGCAAAAAGAACTGGATGGGCAAGGGGGAATCCAAAAGTAAAGCTGATGAAATATTCAGCACTTCATGTCAAAAGCTACTGCAGGCATGAAGAATAGCAGCTATAGTGGGAAGACGCAGCAGAACACACAATAAAGGGAGACTTTGCAGGTACAAACCTTTATGAGAGAGTACCTGGCTGTGATGCTGCACAGCGGAAAAGCACAAGAGAAGAGCCAGGAGGGTTTGTAAAGGTGAGGGGTGGGAAGGAACAATGCTGGATCATTCTTTCTTGTCTGGCTGGACAAGAAATGGAATGACTTGAGCCAAGTAGAACTAACAGAACCATACAAACTACAATGCTAGATATAGAGCTGGAGTACAGCTGCAGGTGTCACAGGCAAGATGAAGGGATGGGACCAGAGACATGGTTAGGATGTGTGAACATTACAGGCTTTAACCATGCCTAGGAATTTAATAATTCTTATGATTCATTTTTAATCTTGGTGTGCAAAAGTTAAAAGCCAGTGCTGATGTATTGGTCCCCTCTAAGAGCCAGACTTTACTCATCAAAAATCATTTTCATTCTTCAGACTTTCTAAAGTCCTTTTTCTGTTTTTCTCTGGTTTATTTTTCTCTATTTTTGTCATATCTGATCCTTTTCATAGAATCATTTTTGTTGTTTTTAAAACTCTGACCTCTGACCTACCCAGATACAGAAAGGCATCTAAACTCAGGAGACGACGCAGCATAGAGGTGACACATAACACATCTTACACAAAGACATCATTTATTTTACTTTCTTCTTTTGTCTTTTACTTATAAACTTTTTCTGTTTTCAAAAGAACTGCACTCTGTTATGATTCAGTACAATCACTAAAAAGAAATCAAGCAGCCAAAATCCAAAGAAAATCAATAATAGAACTTCAGAAAGTCCAGATAACTATTGGTCCAGACTGTTTTGACCTTTAAATGTTTGAAAAACGAATCAATGAAAATTATTTATCTTTTCAGTTCTTTCTTCTTTTATTGATTTGCAGCCATAATATCAATTTTCTTTTTTTTTCTTTTTTTTTTTTGCTTTGAATGCATGTTTCTCTAAAATGTTGAGCAGGGGCCTCATTTATCAAGCTTGCTTACGCACAAAACGGGGTCGGAAAACTGCGTAAGCAACTTTCCACGCAAACTTTGGGATTTATGAAAGAAAACTTAGCTGAAAAATGTGTGCAACTTTAAGTTGATTAAGGACCTGGCTTACGCACATGTTGGACATGGAGAGCACCTGCAGTGCTGCTGCTGAGAAGGATAAAATTAGGAAATCCTGCAGCATTATCACTTGTACTGCTTAGTTTTCACACAGAATAAGACCCCTCCAAACGCACGCGCACGCACACACATGCGCGCGCACACTCACACATGTGCGTGCGTGGCACACAGCCTGAAGCACAGAATACGGAATGCAGAATATCAGCAGGGGGACAAATGAGACAGAATGTCATGCGTCTGTGACAGTGTGTGTCCAGTCACTGTGACCCGATTGATCATGCGCCCTGGATACTTGGACAAGGGAGATCTCCGTTTGGGTGACTGGTTAGCGCATGTGACTTTCACCTGGGAGTTTGGGGATTGAATCCTGATTGGACCATTTCTTTATATCCGCCACAGATCTCTCTGAAGAATTCACAACACTGACGGCTTCAGCAGCGCTGTGCCACTCTGTGGATTTTCTCTTATTTGTTTTGCAAAAGCACGTCCTTTCATTTCTCCACTTCACCCACAAGTACCTCAATTCCTGCTTCTGTGAAATAGCGCCTCCTTGATCTACGGTCGTGATCGAAGTGCTGCAACAAGCCAGCTTATGTATATGCATGAGATCCACAAGGCATTGACTATTTATGGCAGGAAGTGGGCGTGGTGAGGGCGGGATGTGACTAAAATGCAGCTGAGAAACATACTCGTTAGTCTCCGATTTATGAAGCGGAGATTGCGTGCAGCTGTGCGTACTCCATGTTTGATAGATCACAAACCTGCTTGGCGTAAGTACATTTTTTTTGCTGAGCTTAAGTACGGTTTTAGTAAGGATTCTACGCAATGTTTGATAAATGAGACTCCAGAACATTAAAGAAATAAAACATTACAGTTGGCTCATTTCAAGGAAAACTAATTTGGTTTAAAGTTTTACATGGTGCTCATAATTACTATTTTATATTGGGCAAATACAGTATAACAAGCTGCATAAAGACCCTCCTCTTTACCAACCTGAACGTGAAACAGCTTCTCTTATAAAGCTGCCGTGCAAAATAAACATCTTCACCTCCCATTGCCTGAACTGCAGCTCTCTACCCTAAGAAAAAAATTCAAATATCTGCGGCACCTTGAGGCAAACATGCTTTGACAGCAATTAACCTGTCCAATCTGAGCATGCAGTTGCGCTTGTCGCAGTGTGTAAAATACACAGGGCCAGGCAACGACTCTCCATTCTGGTGGGTGTTATGAAGCAGGTGCTCTTTTCATGATACAAAAACAAATTTAAATCTGAAACTGCTTTTTATTTATTTTTTTTTTTTTTTTACAAAATTCATATGTTCTTAGAGGGTAAATGCATGATTTGAACTGATATGCATTGTACATTTTCTTGTGTCTTGATATCTGAAGCTATACAGAAAATATCCGGGTCTAAAAAACCATGGATGCCCAAGCCTAACCATGCCAATGGTTGGGGTGACCTACATGCATAAAACGCTAATACTCAGGTTTTGGGTCAGATGGTGAAACAATCATTCTATTTTTTTTAAAGACCTTATAGATCTCCCTACAACAAATTACATCTAGCATATTTTATCAAGCTGCAAAGGAAACTAAGCCCTCGTCAAAGCTAACTGACCTTTTTCCATGGGGACCATGTCTTGATGCCGGGATGGCGGCGTACCTGCATACTTGCCACCTTTGTTTTTCAGCACAAAGCATGCCATGATCGCAACAAGGGTGAGCAAGGCCACAGCACACAAGGTCCCGATCAACCAGCTCTGAGTCGTAATGGCGCCCTTCTGATAATCTGAAGACAAAAACAGACAAATACTTCAACACATGACATTCTTTTTGGAGAGCAAGCTTGTACTCTCTAAATCCCTTTGCCCCAATTTGATTGAATGGACGATTAACAAGTTACATCAGAACTTGGCGATAGGCTGAATAGGTAATTTAGTCATGGAATCAGTTGTGTTGAAACAGGAAAACAACTAAAACATGCAGCACAATGGCTGTTGAGGACCAGGATTGGTCATGATTATAACTATAAGAGCATAGAGCAAATAAGGTGGGGTTCATTTGTTTAATCAATACATTTACAATGGTCTCGGATAGGAATGAATGTCTTGCAAGCCGTACTCGGAGGAAAAAAAATGCCCAGAGACACTTGGATCAGCACAGACCAGTATGTTACTGCAGAGAGTGGCAAAACACAGCAGGATAAAGAGTCTTATTTCCTGATATTTGGACATCTCGCCTCGGATTGGATAACAGCAATGGGACTCTAGTGCTGAGTTGCAACGCAAATATTTTCTCTCCACAAACAACAAAAACTTAGTTTTTCGGTGGGGTGGTGTTGCTAATGTTAACAGTTAGCTTCTAACAATGATAAATAACTCGTGCTTGTATAGCTCCTTTTAGAATCAGAGGGCTCCAAAGCGCTTTACACTACAGTGTATAGTTCATCCATTCACACACTGATGGTGATGAGCTACAATGTAGCCACATCTGTCCTGGGGCAAACTGACAGAGGTGTTGTCTGCCGATTCCTGAATGCTGAATCAACAGCCTTCCCCGTCACAAGCCAAGATGGGTGAGTCCATGAATGTTGACAATGTGACGTAAATCTGCCCGGCTTTTCCAATCCTAGAATGTCACCGTCGATTTTCTATCTTAAGCTAATGCAGGAGATAGGTGTAGGAGACTATTTTCATGTTGGGCCTGGAAAAAAAAACTCACTGTGACAACTTATGCAGATTATAATCAGAAATAATAATCAAAAATGTTTTTTCAGAGTTCCACACTTTAAATAAACACATATCATTTCGTTTTTTTTCTCTTACCGCTCAGATAAAGCATGCTTTCTCTTCCGAGAAGATATTAGGAACAAACATTCTCATTCAGCACAGTCACAAAATCAATGTAGTGAGAGAACTTTGACCTTTAGGCACTAATCTATACTGACAGGGACTCTCTCTCACCTCACCTTTGACTCTGGTCTGGATAACATCTTCAAAAATGCTAGCATTAGCAAGTAGCTTCTTGTCCATGAGGCGCACAGTGTACACCGTCCCGGGTTTTAGCCCATCAATAATGAGGAATTTTTGGGAAGTGTTTACCGCCTCTGAAAAGTGCCAGTTACCATCACCTGAACAGCCAAGGAGTGCACAGAAAGCAAACATGTTAGCTTTAAAAATGGAAAAGAAGGTTGGGGTGAGTGGTTGTCAGGAAAACAAAAAATGTTTCTTAAGCTATGAAATATTTTTCCGCACTATGACTAACTTTAAGCATGTCCTAATAACCAAAGAAATGATGAAAGCAGTCACGAAACTTGCATATGCTAGTTGTTAATATACTTATGTGTGATGCCTCCTAAAACTCCTATCAATGTTTCGCAAGGCGGGGACAGGAAAAGTAGCTTACGGTTATTCATATAAGCCACATAAAGCTGGAAGTCCTCCTGCTCCTCTCTGGTAGTCCAGCTGATTTTGGCAAAGGTGTCACTCACGTGAGAGCTTATATTCAACAGAGCTGGAACTGATAAGGAGAGAGGGAAAAGGAGGAGGAAAAGGGAAACCATGGAACAGGGAAAACGAGAAAGAAGACAGAAAAAGAGGATTAGCAGGAGCAAACAGGAACCCCCGTAGCCAGAGAACAGTGAAGCTTGCAGAAAACCTTTTCAAGAAGACCGTTCAAAAGCCAAATCTGGGGCCCAGACCTATTTGAGAGGAGCTGGATTTGGGGCTCAGGAAGAGTGAATGTATAGACCTTTGGAAGGTTTGACATCTAGTCTTCATTTTGCATTAAACAAGGCTGATATTGCCCAGCAGCCCCCCACCAAGGGTAGACATGAGAACAGATTCAAATGACTCCACATCTCGGACACTATTGTGACTGGAAAGTTCACAGATACCACGATGAGATCACTGGCTGGGGGTGCGTGGGAGTGAGCAAGGATATATCTAAAGGAAAATGAGAACAATTGCATGTGATAGAGATGGGATCAGATGGGGAGCAGTTGAGATCTGCAATGAAAGAAACGCCTCAGATGTGAAAATTCTGTCCCAATGCTGTCAGCAGTAATACATGGTAAGGTGCAACCAGCGAGCATCGTGGGTTACATAAAGTCAGGGACGTGAGAGCAAGTGGGGGGATTGTGTTAATGGTGTTTGCAGCACTGGTAAAGCTAAACTGAAGAAACCTAGACTGGGAATTTTTAGTTACAAATCCCCATGCAAACAGTCGATTTTTCTTTAGCAAGATTTTGCTTCTTTCATACTGGAGGACAAATTTTTGCAGAGGCTACACCAACTGCACACCTACAACCTTGTCTATCTCCAGCACCATCACTTCAGCACGGACTGGCCGCATCATCGGCTGCAGGCGGTGATACATACTGTTTAGAACAGGGACCACAGCTGGAGACTGGGACAAATCTTCAGAGGAAAGCAAAGATAATGGAACACAGTGGAAGATTACAGATATGTGGAAAGTCAGCTCCAAGGTTTATAGACCATGTAGGCACCAACCCACATTTAGAGAGAGACGGTAAATCCTCACAAACACCAGCGTGCACTAATAAATTACTTCATGAGCAATATTTTCTTCCCAGTGATGCTTTAAATTTGGAGGGCGGTAGGAAGGCGCACTGTTCGAGGGCAGGATGATGAAAACACATTTGTTCTCTCTTTTGTAAACCACATATTGTGCTTTTTTTCTAACTAGGTCTTTACACCACCATAAATCTCACATTATTATTTTCAGTGGGAAATAGATCTGGAGCTAGCTGCAGTAGCACTTCTAGACCATATTTTATAGACTTTTTTTTTTATTAAGACTAAGAAAATGCGTAACTCGTGATAGATGTGATGTGATTTTTTAGATTATGTGTCTGGTCAGAGCTAACCTCTGTTTCTCCAAACTGAGGCTATTCAAAGAGCTGTTTACTGCATAAGACATGGACTGTTCATAAAGCTTCCACAGAAACCATCTTTAAAGCTCTAATTAGCTCATTTATTTCCCTTTTTTACTTGCAATGGTCTCCAATAGGGCTGCAGCAAACGATTTTTTGGATCATCGATGAATCAGATGGGGTCTCGACTCGATTAATCGATTAAATGAATAAAATGGGAAAATTTAAATCAAATCAAATCAAACTTTATTTATGAAGCGCTTTTAATACAAAAATATTACTAAAAGTGCTTTACAGATTAAAGACTCCACATATCCCGCAAATGTCATTAACTAAATTGCTTGATTAAAAACTGTTAGGGAAACATTTTTTCTCTCCTTCGTTTACTTAGTTTAACAACAAAATATTATTAGAAAATAGTTCAATAGCATGCAAAACAACATGCTATCATCTAAATATATCCATAATTAAACTATGATCAGACAAATCTTATGTATTTCATTAACATGTTCAGTAGTCGCTACTGGAAAGGCTAATGACATTTAATTTCTACTGCAAAAAATGTTATGGTGACACATGCATACACACACACACACACACACACACACACACACACACACACACATATATATATATACACACATATATATATACACACATATATATATATATACACACACATATATATATATATATATATATATATATATATATATATATATATACACATATACATATACATATATATACATATACATATACATATACATATACACACACACACACACATATATATATATATATATATATATATATATATATATATATATATATATATATATATATATATATATATATATATAATGTACAGTTTGGTAATAATCCAGTTTAAATTATGTTCACAGATAGGTACATTTGCAAATTGCATGCTACAGTGGCTTGCCAAAACCTTGCTGCCGTGTTTAGCCGAGCAGACTCTAACCTGACAGCGGTTCTGCTCCGTAGCACTGCACTCAGCTAAGAACGAACAGGATGGTGAGGACTCTTCTTCCGCTTGTAGAGTTTAGATGTTCTTAATTTCACAACCATCGTGTTTTTTTCCAAACTCCACTTAATCATGAGCCTGCTACCCACTAGCATTAGCTAATCCGCCCATATTTGCACTTTTGATCCCAAACAGTTTCTGCCTTTGTGTGTTTGCTGGTTTCACTGTTTTTCTCAACAGCACCTAGATTAGCTCACTGTGCGTCAGTAAGCAACTTACTGTTCTAAGTGTGTCATTCCTCATCAAAACGCCGGCTTTCTCTCTCGTTCTGATCTGCCTCAGTCTGCTCTGTTGCCGCCTAAACATGAGCTGCGCACATTGACTGTTAAATAAAGGTTGAGCAACATGAAGAAAAGTTACACAACACAACGGATCAATGACGGAATGCACTGCCAACGCATTTCGTCTTCAATTTTTATCGATTTTATCGATTTGTTGTTGCAGCCCTAGTCTCTAATAGAAACGAATGCCTTGAGAGTCTTTTTCTGTGAGGGGGGAAAAAAGTTCTGGCACTTTCATAAAGTAGAAGTTAGCCAGAGGAGAGGGGAGCAGTAAACAGCAGGAATTGGAGTTTTACTCATTATTCATGATATTCAGATATCTCACCACTGATTGGATAACAGCAAAGCGACTCCTCCACTACCTGCATTCACTCTTTAACTTTGATGTTTTATCTCCACAAATTGCTAACGATTGGCATCTACTAGTAGAGAAGCTCTACGCTCTCTCCTGACCGCCTCATTGTGAGCCAAGATGGGAGTCCATGAATGTAAAGTTACAGTGTGACGTAGATCTGTGGCTAAGGCAGGAAATAGGGATAGAAGACTTTTCATTTTCAGATTGATCAATCATTATAAAAATAACAAGAAAAAAAGCTTTTCTGTGAACTTCCCCTTTAAAGAAGGGATGGATGTTAAACAGTACATGCCCAGTCTGATTTCACATGTAAATAGCAAGCTTTGCCTTCTGCTCTTTGCATGTTTTTATTCGAATTGCTGAACAACAAACTGATTACAGATAAAATCAGAACTTGATTGTGGTAATTATACCTTAAGCTTTTTCCATCTACCAACATAGTCAGCCCTCTGTTCTTCTGGAACGTGGTTATCCCATGAGAGTTTCTCATAAAGGTAATTTTGTTTCTAAGTTCAGCAATCCTTTACTTCTTTAATCACTTTTCTTTCATTGCTTTTAGCTTTTAATCTAATGTTTTTTTTGTCTCGCGTTCCAGCCACTCTTACTGAATTATAAACTTCACAGAACACCAACAAAGACGCATTTCACATCTACCTCGGTCACAAAACTGAAATCTAAAAGGAGCAAAGATCACTAATTCATATGCATTCATTTTGTGTCAGTGTCACTCTGTTCCTCCATGTTTATGGCCCTAGATTTATAGAGATCCTGCTCCATAACACTGGCATCCATAAATCTCTGCACTGCATTGTGACGAAGGTGCCCCGAGGATGATTCTTTGAAACAGAACTATTTTATCTCCCATCAAGCCTTGACCTGACCACATTTACAAACAATACACCCAGACATGGACTTCCACTGATGCAGTTTCTGCATCTGCAGAGATTCTCGGAAACCAAATGTTTTGGTTTCATAGCCGACTGAAATGTGCTCATGCTTCTTTTTTGTTTTCGAACCATTACACATCCCACAATTTGGACAAAATCTATAACAACTATACCTCCTTTCCTCTCCCAGTTATTGAATTTAGAGAATCTATTAAGTTCATTCTGATAAAAATCATGTGACCCACATAATTCATGTCGACTTTAGATAAATACGTTTGCAGTCTGTAAGGGATGAAGCAGCAGCTTTATTTGTCAATCAAAACTGTAGAATTGGAATATCTGTAAAATGGATCCGAAGTTTTTATGCAGATTTTAAGGTTGATATAAACAAAATTTAAAAAAGCTTTTGGCTTTTGTCCTATTTTTTTACTGTAATTTGTTATTTATATAATTATTATTATCATTATCATCATTATATTATTATTACAATAAAAGCCGTTGTTTTTTTATGACAAAAGCATCCCGTTTCCTTCCCAAAAAAACAAAAGGAAAGACATTTCAAACTAAATAATTAAAATGTTTTATTTTTTTCTAAACCAGCATATCTTATTCAGCTGAAAGCTGTTAACTATTCTCATAAATGCACACATTTTCCCTCTACTCAATCGTAGGTTTTTGAACTTCTAATAAGAATTGTGATGTCACAAACGGGAACTTTTTCAAATGGCTCATTTTAGGCATACAACCCCTACCACCAAACACTGACAAAAAAAGGATGGATGTCTGTTTTTCATGTTTAAAGTGTTTTTAGAGGCAGTAGAGACCACATAGCAGCACAAGGAGATGCAAAAGGTGACACCATCATTGGTAATAGTCGACCCAAAGCTGCATGATTTACTCGGTGAAATTATTTCATTTGCATATTTAAACATACATTTTTTTATTACAAGATAAGATTTTTGTGTTTTATGAAAAGATTAGGATTCAAAATCCTGTAATTTTGCAACTATCTGTAGGAAGATAATATTTCTGACATGAGCAGAAGTAATGACTCATGTAATCTTTATGACTGTCAGACAGAACAGAAGGAAAGCCACAGGTGGCTGATTTCTAACTGACTTCATAATGGGTCAGTGGACTGGCGGCAGCAGCATGATGCTCTGTGGCTGTCTCAGAAAACGTATGAATCTTGCTGTTTCAAATTCTGATCCTGCTGTTCGTAATATGTAAACTGATGAATTCCAAAACAAATTCTATTTCCTCCACCTTTTACAAATAAAAGGCAGATTTTTCACTTTTGCTTAAACGTTCACATTATAAGCATACAGTCGATAGCACATCGGTGGAGGTTTACCTATAGCAGGGGTGTCAAACATGCGGCCCGCGGGCCGGATCCGGCCCACAAGCGGGTTAAATCCGGCCCGCGAGATGGTTGTGTAAACTTTATTTTCATACTTTACAATGTAGTTAAAATAAACGTATCTTTGTGAGCAAGTTTTCTCTGTAATGAGTATAAATAGAACAAAGCTGCGCTCAAGGCTCACACAAGAACTTGAATCACATCCTGAAGTTAGGTGCCACTCAGGATGTGACTTCTGATATTGATGTGCCAGTGAAAGCTAAGAGATGTAAAGTAAAATGACTCAAATATACTTTAAGTGCTGCATGAAACTGATCTTGCCATGTGATCTGTAAGCTCTTTGAATCACTAAGGAATGTTTTTATTTGTTGATTTTTTAATTTTTTTCAAATTTTCAAGTACACTTCAGGTGTTGTACTTGTACTACATTGTCCTCAGGCTCCAGCCTTGTTTTATATTGATTGTATTAAAACAAAGAAAACAATCTGAAGTTTTTTTTTTTATTTACCGGTCTGGCCCACTTGGGACTAGATTTCCCTCAATGTGGCCCCTGAGCTAAAATGAGTTTGACACCCCTGATCTATAGAGAGCTACGCGGTCATTGGCTCCTTTTTACATGTGCAAATCAAATCATGTTCAGATTCTCTGAAATGTCATAATTTCCCAACACATGGTAACTTTACAAGTATTGACATTAAAGGTATAATATGCATGTTTATTGTCACATGGTTACCACAGGTTTTATTCAATCACATGCAAACTGTCAACACTGAGAAGAACAAAGACTTTGGGTGTAAAATTTAAGTAAGAGGCAAATATTTTACACCATTTGTTTCACAGAATGGGTTTGGCTGCTAGCAAGACACACTAAATCATTTTTGAGAGCGCTAGTCCAATTTTATAAACCTTTGACTTCATTGTCAGGAAGATCCATAATTTTTGATTGAAAAGAAGAACACGGGTTAGTTAGAAGGAATACTGCCAGAAAAGGTCACGGTCTGTAACGAGGCTAATACACAAACACAAAGGGCAAACATTTTTATTCACTCACTAACAAAAAATGTCTGTTTTTACAGGTTAGAGAAGACATATTCTACATGCTTTCACTTGTTTTTTGAAATGCCATTAACAAGCTTAAATTTAAAAACACAGAAAGCCTTTTTTTCAAATTATGGAAAATATTTAAAAAATGTTATTTATTAAAGCATGAATTCAACAAATAATTATCTAACTTTATTTAATTAGATTTTATTAATCTTTTATAATATTGTTACTGCAAATAATTGCTTCAAGTTGACGCTTAGAAAAATGTTCATAAATACTTTTTTGTTGTTTAAAAAAAATTAAACACAGGAAACGACCAACAAGTAAACAAATGAAAGGGAATTAGTGAGTCTGGCAAGATAAAATAAAAATATGAATTTATGTTCAGTTTAAATTGATTAATAAATATCTTATTTTAAAATAAGTTGCCATGTAAAAATGAATCAGATCTAATTATTTTTGTTCAAATGAGCTGAAAAAGTGTCTAGCATCAATGGGTTTACACCCGTTATTTTTATCTAATTGTTTCTTCCTGCTTCACCAAAAGCAAACACTAACATCTGTCCTATTACCTGTAGTGGGTGGAGTTAATATCTCCTGGGCCAGTGGAGGTCCACAACCTGTTTGAGTGCAGGCGCTGAGGTGGAAGAGGTAGCGACTGCTGTCCTTTAACCCGGAAAGTTTCCACTGGGTGATGTCAGCCCCGGTGACGTTCGTCTCCTGGGATTCAATCACCTCCAGTGACGTCTCGTTTACTACAAACAAGTAAGAAAGAGGTCAGGTCAGTTTAGCTCACATGGAGCCCCATGATGGATCAACGCCAAAAGAGTCATCAGTGTTGGGTCATGTTGTATGGTAATGCAACGCAACTATAATGGGGGTCAATGTTGGAGAGAGAAGGGAGGTTAAGAGATGCCACGCTAGATCATACGGAGAGTGAATGTAGGAGATACGCGTTGTGACAGGTAAGCTGAGGAGGAATACATTAAGACGAAAGGGAAGGAGATGAAAGAGAGGGAAATGGAGAGCTCAAGAGGATGGGGTGTAAACAAGTGGTGAAAAGATGAAGAGACGGAGACGAGAAACAAGAAATGCAAGATAAATTAAAAATGACCAGGCGATAAGAGGCAAAAGCTGATGAAAAAGATGAGAAGAAACAAAAGACAAAGCAGGGCTGAAAGGAAAAACGAGGTACGAGAAAGTACTAGAAAGAAAAAGTAGCGTAGTACAGCAGCACCAAACATGCATTATACATCAAAGTAAAGTATGTGTGCTGACTGGTGAAAGCAATGCGCTCATTTCCTGAAAGTCTCCTCTGTGATGTCACTACTGTGCAAATGTTGGAGAGGCAGGTGAAAGCTGATGTGCCAGAACCTTTGTGCCAAATGGAACAAAACGCTGCATATTTTATTTTTCTGGTGACAACAGATTGCTCATTCATTCACCACATTGCTGTTTCACAAACCGACTGGATGTGCAGTCTGCACATATTCCGTAATTTACTATATTTTATTTATGCAATTAGGCACAAAAGGGATTTTAAATGCACGGTAAACCAGTCCAACCAAAACGCCCACAGACGGCTCTGTGTGCGAATAACTGTGTAAAGTCTGACATCTGATACAGGGGGGGCTGAGAGGGGGGATGGGGGGGTGTATACTGAAGAGCTGGCCAGACTCCGTGGGTGCAGATGGAGGAGGTGAAGGGCTGTCTCTGCATTCGCATTTCAGACAAAAGACTTCAGAAATGTCAGCAAATGAGAGCGCAGGCTTCGACAACATAACGGGGGCTCAGCACTCACTGGTTCACCCTGACACTGCTGCAGGATAAAGGTGCTTCTCGCATGATGAAGGGAAAAAAAATCTACATCCTGCATGAGGAGAGGTGAATGTCAGTGGAATTTACACAACAGACACAAAAAAGCATAAATGTTTCTGCAGGGAGGAAAAAATCTGGCGTCCAAGGAGAAATGTGATAAGACACAATGAGGGAACTGTTGAACTGGAATCTGAAGCACAACCAGGCTGGTTCAGTATCGGTGTTAAACACTGCCACCAGCTGTCCGCTGTGATAACGCACACAACAGGAGCAAAAGGGAAGAGAAGGTTTGCAGATTTTTAAAAGATCTTAGAAAAGGAAACAAACCTGTACGTGTGAAGATAAACTGCAAGATCACAGATCTGCGTCCCCCCTTTACTTTCCTACTTCCCTTTTACTAACACAACAAACCACTCAGGCTTACACTTCACCAACAACACCTCACACAGCACAGGAAGCTAAAACAAATTTAAAAAATGCATGAATAAACAGGAAAAGTCACGTAGGTTGGAAGATTTAGAACGGGCGGGTAGTGTGAGTACATACGGAGGTGGTAGTGCAGGATGTAACCAGACAGGAAGCCGTTCATCACTGTAGGTGGTCCCCAAACCAGCAAAGCAGAGTCTTCCTGGTAGTTGGAGATGGTCAATATGGGCACTGACTCTGGAACTGCAGAAAAGGTAACATAATGACGGCTATTCCTGTGTGACCATACATGCACTGAGAAAAGCCAGAAGAAGACAAAGTAGGAAATGATAAAGACAACCTAAACATTAAAACAGAAGAACAAGAAGACAAAGATGAAGATGATATGGAAAAAGATGGAAAATGAAAGAAGAGACAAAGAAAAATATGTGCAAGGGAATAATAAAGAAGAAACAATTATACAAAGAGCTACAACAGAAACTTATCACATATTTCCAAAAACTGTTGGTACCGGTGCACCGTTTCAGGAACTTGAAGCGACCCACATCACAGCCGAGCTTCAGATGACGAGTTTTGGAATCTTATTTCCTGATGTTTGGACTTCTCGTCTCGGTTTGGATAACAGCGACGTGACTCTACCACTGACTTGCAACGTTGATGTTTATCTCCACAAATAACACAAGCCTGGAGGACAATCTGCCATGTGGTGGAGTTGCTAATGCTAACGGTTAGGTTATTATAGGTGGGACATTCTCTGCTGTTTTCTAGCCGCTAAACCAACAACAGCCTTCCCCCGCTGTGAGTCAAGATGGGTGAGCCCATGAATGTTGAATGACAGTGTGATGTAGATCTGTCAGGCTTTTCTAATTTAAACGAGGTTTCAACGTCTATTTTTTATCAGAAGCTAATGCAGGAGATAGGTGTAGGAGACTATTTTCATGTTCAGCCTGCATGAAAAACTCAGTGTCTGATTATAATCAGAAATAATCAATAAAAAATGGGTTTTCAGTGTTCTACACCCTTGGAGGAAAGACACAGACTGTGATGGTTTCTGACACTGTTGGCACTGATTATATAAAAAATAACTATTATTCCATATGCTCATGAATATATCTGATCCGATGGGATTAAAAAGACAAGTTCTACATTTCTGGGTAGATGATTTACTGGCCTGATTTTCAAATACCACAAAGAAGTCCGGTGTTTATAGAAAAGTCTGATTAGATAAATCTGTTCTCAGTGGTTGTTTAGATCAAATCCTTTCAAACAGGATTAGTTTTGCATTGTGTTACACTAAGTTGGCAGAGCAGACATTTTTGTTGCCTTTAGGACCTAAACAGCCCCCAGTTCTCCTTTTATTGTCTGGATCAACAACCCTCTTCATTTTATGCGGAAAGGTTGTGATCCCTTTAGAATGTTGGACAGTTTCCATCTATCTTCTCAGTGGACGGTTTATTTAATAGCCTTGCCACCTCTGTTTAGGAGCTTGGTTCTGCTAAAACAAACTGGGGCAACCACTGCATGCAGCCCCCTTGTTCAACACGCTTCTCTAAACGTCAGGTGGAAACCTGTGGAGAAGAATCACAACCAAGATGGCTGGAGTCGTACAAAACTACAGGTAATTGAGAGTCCAGCTGAACAACAGATTGGTTTGGGGGTATGATCAGACTCCTCCTGCTGAGGAGGATCAAACCAATCAGATTATGCTAAAAAAATGTTGATGTGATATCTTTTCAGCAAATATGTTTTATATATTTAAACACAAAAATATAAAAGTTCTGCTCAACATTTATCACAGAAACTCGTTCAAGAGAAATCAACAGACTGATGGTGGATACCTAAATATTATATGAAATGTGTGCTACACTGATGTTGGTGAGTTGGAGTTCAAAAGTGGGAGCTTTGATGTGCTGGAGCTTGAATGGCAAAAAATTTAGAAAAGTCCTTTTATTCTGAAAAACTGTAACCTAGGTGTAAATACTCTGCCTCCATCCTTTAATCTCAGCATCTGAAGGGCACATAGCAGGTCAGAAAAAAGAGATGCAGTCGGACAAAATGCCATTTGGGCTTTAAAGATAAGCTATGAGAATATAAAATCAATATGGAATCTGACAGAAGTCCACAGAACTGCAGTGAAAACACATGTAAAGATGTGGAGTACATCACCTGTGTGTACAGGTGGGAACTAAACATAATAGTATTGGCTTGGATAAAAAAGGCTATGAATACTTGACTTAAAATTACTTTATTTTAATTTAAATATTGTTTTATATTGAATTTAGTTTTTGCTTTGCACCCAACCCAAATAGGCCAATGAATAAAAAAGCATGCATGGTCTTTTTTGTGTTTAGTGATGGCATCTTACCTCCCTCTGGAGTATTAAAGGTGACCGGATCACTCTTAGGCCCTTTTCCCTTCTTGTTGAATACGCTGACAGCAAGTTTGTACGCTGAAAAAGGTTTGAGCCCCGGCACGATGACATGACTCCTGTTTCCAGGAAAAGACATGGTGTTGGACACGTTTACAGTCTTGTCAGGATCTAGAAGATTTGTCATCCTCATACAGTAAACCTGTGAGGTGGAGCAGGAAGAACAGGGACATGGATCAGGATAATTTACAAAACAACAGAGACACTCGGACACATTTAATGGCAGAGAGATGAGACTAGGTGCAAGCTTCAGAATTAGGTTACAGTACTTTTACATACATTTAAAATGGCAATTTGTTAAGTAATTAATTACTGAAAGTCTAACCCACCCTTTTAATGACCACTAGGTGTCACACTGTGGCTGCAGAATGTAATTTACCGGTAATAACTTCAAACTATTCATAAATAAACTCGCTGGAAAAACAAAGCTACATCTGTTCTTGTCAGGTGCCTTCTTATTCATTGACTTAATTATGGAGTATGATTTTGCATGGTTCATATTGCAAATGCATGCACAGATTAACTGGCTGCTACATCAGTTTCAAACCAGAACACAAGAGGAAGCATGCAACTCTTTTTTTTGTTTTACACTAAATAATTTGTTTGCTGCTGTATTTTCAATTTTTTTAGATATTTTAACTTCAAATCCATCTCTAAAATGTAAGACTTGACCACAAAAACACAAAGAAAGTATCATTGATTGAACCTGTCATGCAGAAACGGTGCAGTTCTGTTTCTACACAATGTTTCACTTCAGCATGTCGGAGCAGTGAGGTGCAGTGATGAAGACAACTGTAATAATAGTCAGTATTGACACTACTGACTTACAATGTAGAGAAAAAAACCTCTCTGCTTATAGACATATTGTTTGTTAAGTTTAATACAAACAAACCAGTTTGGAAACTTAGCAGCAAAGATTATTTATTTTATCTTTAGGTGAACACAAGGCTGGGAATATGTCCATACATCATAAAAAAGTTTAGTACCACTTTACAATATGGGTCCCTTTATTAACATAACTTTGTGCTTTATTACACATTAATAAACTATTTAATAAAGTATTAACAACTGCTTAACTATATCATGTAATGCATTACAAATCAGACCCCACACAAGCCCTTTGTGCTAACCTTATGGACACTTAATCATTAACAAAACCCAGAACGTTAAAAAAGGGACCATTTGTTTATTAATGCTTAATAATGCATTATGTGATGTTAATAAAGGGACCCTTTGTTTAATAATGCTTAATAATGTTTTACATAATGTTAATAAAGGGCCCATATTGTAAAGTGTTACAAAAATCTCTTATTGACATTAAATTTTGTCTCTCTAGTCATAATCACAAGAAAAAAAGAACCAATTTTTATTCTGCATCTCTTAAAATAGAACTCACTACAAGAACAATAACAATTTAAAATAAAAGAATTAATGAAAAAGATCAAAATAAAAAATTGTCGACAAAGGAAAAATATTTGATAAAAATTTTTAACTAACTAAAAAAATATTTTAAAAAGTAAAATCACAGGATCCTGACGAAGCCAGGTTTGACAGAAAGAACCAGCCTGAACAGAAGCTAATTATATGCTGGCTTTAATTACACAAAACAATATTATTCTCAGTTCGTAAGAACTTACATTATAGCCCCCGAGATGACCTCTCACTGTGGCTGCTGGAACCGGAGTCCAGCTGACTCTTACAGCTGTGGAGTTGATCACCTCCACCGCTACATCCCGTGGTGCTGCAGTAGGAACTTCAAACAGAAGAAAAAGTTAGGAAATACACAAACTCAGCACTGAAAACCTCAAACTTTCTAAAACCAACACACTTCATGAATAATAAATTACAAAATGCATAACAAGGTCCTTTAAAAAAGGGAATAAATATATAAATAACCTCACTGTTTGAGGACTAGACTGAAGCACATCAGATAAGGAGAAGTGGATGGGTTGGCCCAGCAGGTCTACAGCACATGGCATGGTGTTATCAAATATATCTCCTGCAGCTTGTGACTCAGAGGTGGGAATCTGACATATCTATCCTATACAAAGGTTATCTGCCAGCTGCTACATTTAACAAAGCTGTTTTTCTTGTATAAGTCAAGAAGGTCAGAGGGGAAGAAAAGTCACCACTGCACACCTGAACAAGGTTATAACCTCAGGGAAAAGCAGGAGGGAAAAAGAAAAGAACTTAACCTGACACACTTTCCCGGCGACAATGCCAAAAGTGAACTGAGGATGCAGTGGGGAAAGATAACAAAACCAGTTGAATATAAGGAAAAGAGAAACCATCAGCTAGATGTGGTAGTTAGGCTTTGGGGTTCGATGTTCAGAAATGAGCTACATGTGAAGATGTCAAAAATCAAAACCATCATGTGAGATTTAGAGCTCACCATCTTCTCCAGAGTAACCCGTGACACTTTTTGGTTTTGGACCTGAGCCGAAGCTGTTCCTGCTCTGAACTTTGATCTCATAAGGAATAAAAGTGGGCGTGTTCTTCACGGTCAACCTGGGTTCCTTGACCATGACCACCTTCCAGTCATCTTCCACGCCCAGTTTTCTGTAGGTCACTATGTATTCAAGGCCATTGCCATTGTACTCAATGGGTGAGAGAGGCTACAAAACAGAGACATGTAAATGACCTATAGGCAAGGCTAAAGATGTTTCTAACATGCACATCTGGAGATGTTTTTAATTAACTGCATAAATGAAGCTCTTACTTCCCAGCTGATGTCCATTTGATGAGGAAGACTGCCTTCAATTCTGATGTTCTCTGGGTTTTTGTCCGGTGCTTTCAAGACAAAGAGTTTTTTAATTATATTGTTTCAAAAAAGTCTCAGTTTTTGACGTTTTTTTTTTCACTACCAGCAAAGTTCTGAAGAAAATGCTGTAAAATTGCAAGAAAACTGTTTCATGACTTCAGTAAGTATTGCATCGTTTTATGACTGACTTTTAGAGTGACCTCAAGAATTGTTTAAAGGACAGATACTTTTAGAATTGACTGTTAACGTAATAAATAAATAAATAAATAAATAAATTAGTAAACTCTCTCACCAGCAGGGGGTGTAGTGTATCTCTCTGTGGGCTCACTGGGTGGTCCAGGTCCAATGGCATTGACAGAATATACTCTGAAATGATAGTTAAGGCCTGCGGGTAGGAACAGATCAGCTGCTGTCTGGTTACCGGCCACTTTCTGCAGCTCTTTCCAACTGCCAGGTTCCCAGCGGTCCTCCTCGTACTCTACCACAAATTCTGTCCACAAAGAGGCAATTTAATGAAATGCCACTGCTGATTTGCTATAAAATTTATATATATATATATATATATATATATATATATATATATATATATATATATATATATACCTCAAGATGAAAAAGCAGTTTGTTTAAAGTAAATGAGCGTTTTATTATCAATCCAATGTCTGAGCACGAACCGTCTACTCTGGACCATCAAGTGTTGTCATGAAGCAAAAATAATGAAGTTCTTTACAAATGTGTGTCCTTGTTTTATTTGACAGATGCAAGCAAATGCATGTCTAAAAGTGATATAATCTAGCGATGGTGTCATGCATTTCCAACAGTATCAACAGCTGGTGGCAATGTACCAAGAAATACAGCAATACTAAAGCAAAGGTAGGAGTAAAACCTGCGCCGCTTTTCCACAGAGGTCAAAATATGACGCAGATAAGAGAAGACCTTCACTTAACCCTACATTCTCTCATCCTATTTATTCGACGTGAATCACACAGCATGTAGGAAAACCCAGGTGCATGCTTTTAAATCCAATGTTGAAGTTGTGAGTCAGACATGTGACATTAAACTCTAAACATCTCTGCTGATCTAGCTAGGACGTATCTTACGTTTGCTATCCAAGCATAATAAAAGTAAATGGACTGTGTGAAAGAGAGCATGGATTCAAAAAATGACAAAAGTACCTCTATACATCTTGTTTGTTAAACCTTAAACATACAACACAAATCTTTTCTGATTTTTCCTGACAAGGAAAAGCAATCAAATATAGAAAGAAATGTTGCTAAATAATGCATTGTTTGCACTTAAAAGAGGGTATGTGACCATTTCTAATTGGCTATAATGCACATAAATTCCATTTATTCAAAGTCTGTAAGAAAAAGAGTTTATATATATTTTTGACAATCCAGTAATTAACAAATAAAAGAGCCTTACGTTGAAACTAAAATGATAGGCAAGATTCCCTGCCAGGATTCTCAGCACTAAATGTTTATTTGCTTCTCTTGTCAAACCACATTAGTCAAAACTCATCAATGATCACAGGAGCAGAACCTGCTAACTCGTAATGGAAAACAGTCAATTTTAGTGATTCAAGTAAATAAATCACACTTTAAAGTGATAAAGCTGCAGCTGCTCTCAATCAATACTTTATTCACAATAAAATACTGAATATTTTATTGAATAATTCTCCTGTCCAAAACGTTAAATGATACAATAATGTTATTAATGCAGTACATAAAAAATACATGTTTCATAATATCCCTTATTTAATCTTTATGTTGATTTCTTGTGAAAAAGTTTTCAGCTAATTTAATGATGAAAAATAGCAGATTTAAAGTTAGAGTATGGAACATTTAAATAAAATGCTATATATAAAAAAATAATACCTCCATGGGGCATTCAGAGGTATGCACAATGAATGTACAGTTTCTCTTTTAAAAGCTAAATAATAATTTAAAAAATTCTATCGGGCACGACACTGTGTTTTTGTTTACATCTAACAGCCACTAGAGGGCACCGTTGTGCTAAAAAGTCCGCTCAGCAAGGCAAGGCTGGGACTGTGTAAAGTGACACACCTGACAAGTCAAGCTGCTGATTCTGATCCCAGAAGATGTTCCAAGTGTAAATACTGTTGTAAAAAAAACTTATTAGTAGAAATTAGTCCTTATCCTGTATGATTTGTGAACACTGAACATGGTGCTCGAACATGTCCGCAGTGAACCAACATCCCGACTGAAAAAATTAGTCCTGATGTTGCAATACCACAGTGAACACCAGAGTTTGCCAGTGTCAGTGTTCCATATTCAACCTTTAAGGCTGAAACTAAATATCAAATAAATCTAAGCAAAAGCTACACAGTTAGATGGTATGATGTTTTCAATAAGAAAAAAAAATACTTTAATACCAAATATGTGTAAAAATATAAGATAATGCAGATTTTTTTAATTGACATGTCTGTGATTACACTCAACACATCAGAAAGGTTTTCAGTCACTGTGAGCATGTATACGTTTTGTAGGCTTTTAATGATAGATTCAAATTTTTTTTTAAAGGAGAAATACAACATCCTTTAAATATTTTAATAATGATAATCGGATTCACATGTTTGAATAAAAGTGCTTTCTCTTCCATGCATGGTCAAAATCAAACTCAGACTCAATAATAAATTCAGCTTAATCCTTTTTATTAAGCAGTGCTGAAAGTTAAAATGTCTTCACTTTAAGGCCAGGATTAACGTCTCATTAGTGATCACGATTGACAGCAGCTGCTAGCTTCCTTCTGCCAAGATGAATGCTTAGTTTAACAGAACCTATTAGACTGACTTATGTCACCTACAGATGAAAAGAAATTGGTTAAAATCTTCAGGAAATTCTCAGGAACCACTCAAACTTATGAACTAGAAACTAACCAAACACCAACATCGGTATCCCAGTGAAGCCAGAAAAGAAGCTCCTGCTCCTACAGAGACACCACTGAGCTCAAATGAAATCTGCAGCTGCACATATGAATTAATTAGTCACCTTCTGAAGGAAGGTCAGACAGGACAAAGAAAATGTTATAACTATCATGCATGGTGGTGGTAGCATCATGCTGTGGGAAGTAAACAGAGGCAGTACTGTTTGGGCCAAATGGTCAGATTAATGCCTCAGCCATTGATTGTGGTATTTTTGGCTCTCAGTTATGAGCATCGGCAGTTTAACCTCAGAGTGATGGTGGATAGTGTACTTTGTTTTGATGGTCACGTTAATGGTGTAGTCGCTTCCGCCTTTCATCATTTGCAAAGATTGTCCCAGGTGAAACCACTCCTGTCATGACGTGATCTCGAGGTGGTGGTTCATGCTTTTATTACTGCGCACCTGTACTATTGTAATTCAGTCCTTTTTGGTGAAAGTCAGGGTACTATAGTCAGGATTCAGCTTGTGCAAAACGCAGCTGCAAAGTTTTAGAAGGAAAACAGAAGTTTGACAATGTTACCTTAATTTTGGCTACGTTTCATTGGCTGCCTGTTGTTTTTAGAATTCATTTTATTCTTGTATTGGTCTTAAATGCTCTAAATGGATTGGTGCCACCTTACCTGGCTGCCCTACTATGGCCACAATTCCTGGTTCGGACACTTTGTTCGGAGAATCTTCTGTTGCTTTCGGTTTTTGTTCTGTCTATGTTGGTTTTTCTGTTTTTTCTGGATTTTATTGTCTGTGAAGCACCATGGTGACATGTTTCATGTCTGTAAGGCGCTATACAAATAAAGGCTGAGTTGAGTTGAGAGTTGAGAAAGTAGTCTAAAAAGGTAGGACTACCACTAATCTCTTCATCTGGAATCATCAATTACATGGTTGAAACAAACAGAACAATAATCCTAAACACACTTCAGGACCGATTACTTTTTTACTTCATTGAGTCAATTTGAAGCACCAACCTCAACGCTGTAGAAAATTTGAGGATCACACGGATAATCTGAGTTCTAGCCAGGAAACTTCGGATGAACTTATGCGTTTGTGTCAGGAAGATATCAGTCAGAATTGTAGTAGCATGATAATATGGCATGTATTCCCCTGGTGAGAAACTTCTGCTCACATCTGCATATAGTCTTTACTGATTCTGATTCCTTCACCATCATTTATATTTTCTTCTCCTCACAAATACAGTCAAAAATTTGCTAATTGCAGCTTCATAAATAAAGAATCTCATCATTTTAGGCCGTGAACTAAATGTAAAATCAAACTGCATGAAAAATCACAGTGCACAAGCAGCCCCTCCTGATCTCTGGTAAATGTTGCTCCCTTATAAATTATTCAGCTCTACACCCACTCACAGCCAATATCAAACTTCACATATTCCACTTTCTTCGTTTCAAACTTTTACCTGTTATGGACACATTGTGATCACTCCCAGGTTCCCAAGACAGAACGATATTTCTTTCACTCTTAACGTCAGAAATCTTTAACATCGTTGGAGCGTCGGGAATATCTGCAGCACCAATCAGATCAAATCTTTTAAATAAGATATTTTGAAGAACTTTACTGTGAAAAGGGTTTAATCTTACCAAGTACTGTTAGTAATGCAGAGGCAGAGTCCTGATCTAGGTTGGTTTTGGCGATGCATGTGTACCTTCCCTCATCTCTCAGGTTCACATTCATGATCTGCAGCCAGCCACCAGTCACATTGTATCTGAACACATAAGATTTTTGACAGCATAGTAAGAAATCTAAGGATAAATTTAAATGTAGGTATTTGGATTACTGATAAAGGAAGTTCGGTGAAAAAGTAGTGCATTTCCTGATAATTCCTGCAAAAGTGCTACAACTAGTTTATAAATAAGCATATGCGTGGCCTCTAATAAAAATTGAGTTAATTTATCAGTATTTTTGTTGTTTCTTTTTGTAAAAAAAAAAAAAAAACGCTGCACAACACAATCATTTGCAAATTCACACACTGGTGGAGCTGAGCCCCGATGTTGCTACAGCTGCCCTGGGGCACACTGACAGAGGCAAGGCTGCCGAGCACAGGCGCCATCGGTCCCTCCGACCTCCACCAGCAGGCAAGGTGGGTTAAGTGTCCTGCCCAAGGACACAACAGCAGCATTCTCTGGTAGCAACAAGGCTTGACTAATAACTGATGAAGTCATTACTGGTAGCTAATGACCATCGCTTTACATTGTCAGCAAGATATTTTCCTTTTCTTTTTTGATCTTATTTTTTATACTGAGTCATTAACACACAGATGAGAACGGTGAACAAAGTCGCTGTTACAAGCACAAACAAAACTAATAGAAACACGATCAAAGCACAGCCAGTTACCTGGGATCTTCCTCAGAAGAGAGTAAGATCTCCTCATCCTTCCTCCACACCACCTCAAAGGTGTCCCGCAGACTTTCATCATACTCCACCTGGCACATCAACTGGGCCGAGGTCCCACTGATGATCTGCACATCCTGAGGACGACCAACTATTTTGGTGACGTCTGACGATAAAACACAGGTTAGATTATTTGTCTTGTGAAGAAAAGTGTTCTCTCTTAATCTCAACATGCTACAAAGAAGAAAAGCTGAAGTTGAGCAAATAGTAGCTTTTTGTAGTTTGTCTTTTTAAAGGAGAAAAAAAGGCAAATTTTTTATTGCTTGCAACAATTTAAGCCTTTTGTTTTTATCAAGTCTTATTTTTCTCACATTCTGCCTTTGTTAGCCAGATCAGCAAAGACCGATCTCAAAGGAAACACGTTCACAGAACAGCACAGATGTTTCTAAAATGAGCACTGAAACATCTTTAACAAACACGAGACATCAACAATCATACCAAGAGCCAGTTTTATCAGGCTGCATTTGATATTTTTTTTATTTTTGCTGCGTCTGTTAATAAAATCTATTTGAAATTACATTTAATGTATTTTTTCTAATAACATATAATTAATTCATAACAAAATATGCTTGCCATAATCAAAATGTTTACCTTCAAGTTATAATTTTAAACTTTTCATGTAAACCATTTTAACCCTATGCAATGAAACCCTGAAGCTCCTTACATAACCTACCTCTAACCCTGAAACAGCATCAATAATAATACTATATAAAAAATGCATAAATTACACTTGTTTTTTTCAGTGCACAAGTAAAATATTCCACGGTTCATGTTTGCTGGAATACCTTTCACCTCCAGGACAGCAGTGAGAGTCGACGTTCCCTCCGTGTTCCTGGCCTCACACACGTACTCCCCACTGTCGCCTTTTTCTGTGCTGTTAATTTTCAGAGACTGTCCATTTTCAGAAATAAGAAAACGTTCTCCACTGATTTTTCTGTCCTCTTTGATCCTAGAGGGAAACATTAAAAATATATATGAATCATCTTGTTCCTATAGACATGTTAATTATCACAGGAGCAAATCCAACATTATCGTTCCTTTAAACAATTACAGTTTGATTTCTAAGGAATTCTTAAACGCGCAGCAGCCTACAGCTGAGCAATTAGACCAGCGGGAGTTAGAATGAAGAAAAATGTGCTGTTACTGTGATTTAATACAATCAGACATCAAATAAGTGTTTTTGTGAAGCTAAAGGATTTCAACATCTAATTGCCATCGTGTCAGACTGTTGTGAAAGATAAAATAATTCAGTTTGATGAATCTCATGGGTAGAAAGATTATCTCATTAGACAAACATAACAATCAGACACTAAAACCAATTAGATTAATCAACTCTCTCCTGCCACGTATGTGTTTTTGAGCTTCATTCCATTTAGGATGTATGATTTCAAGCTGTTTTTACTCTACTTACCAGACGATGTCAGACGGTGGAGAGCTGAAAACACTGCAGTCTATGACGGCGTCCCCTCCAACGATCACTGCGTACCTCAGAGAGTCCTTTGTCACCATGAGGGGAGCCATGTCTGAAAGCATGTCGAAGGTTTACAGAGACTCAAATGAGAAGTTATAACACTCAGCTGAGTCACAGCCGGAGGCTAAACCCGCTAATTCTGTTCATTTCCACCAAATTATGTAATACCCATAATGTTTTGGTTTAATTGGCTTTGCTGTAAAAACATGTTTTGTGTATTTTGGACTAAAGTGAAGTCCTTCCCATCTGTTTGGGTTATTTGTTAATATAGAATTATGATTCCCATATTACAAAGTAGCTTTTAAAAGCAAGCATCGTATACTCACTCATGACCAAGACGTTTATGTTGGCCAGAATGGTGCCATGACTGTTGGAGGCCTCACACTGGTAGACGCCGCTGTCCTTTGACTCGGCTTTATGAAGCATCACCATATCATCAAGCACTCGCCTGTTGCTCTGTGGATCATCTGACAGAAACAGTGTCAATAGGATCAAAGAGACCACCATGTTTTCTCAGGAGAAAAGCAAAATCAAAACCATTTATTATTGCAATAGATGCAAATATTTAACTCTGTAAATTCTGTTGGGTTGTTTTTCGGGCTCCCGTGTTTACATTTCCATTTCTATTACAATTTACAATAAAGTTCTCTTCATTAACATATTAACATCACTTAGTGCATTATTAGTCATTAATAAACAAAGGGTCCCTTTATGAACAATACTGTTTACTAATACATGTCCTTAATATTTGGTAAGTCAGGGGGATCTGCTTAAGTAATACATTACATAACATGGTTAGGCAGTTGCTAATGCTTCATTTAATAGTTTATTAACACTTAGTAATGCATTAAGTAACATTATTAAAGGGACCCTTACTATAAAGTGTTACCTTCATTTTTATTCTTTTTTTTTTCTTAGCTTAATTTTTCATTTGTTCTCTCAATTTTATTATAATATTTTTAAATTTATTTAAAAAAATTAATATTAAGTGCCTTGTGATCATAATGACATAGTAACGACATAGTAATGACATAGTAATGACAAAGTAATGACATAGTAACAACATAGTAATGACATAGTGACTGTCATTTCAAAACATGTACTAGTAATACTTTCTGACAAAGAACCCCAACTACACTTATCTTGGTCAAAAGCGGACATTTAGTAGTTTCCCCGACCATTTAACCTTACCCCTATTTAGTGTTTTCACATGGGTGGAGAGGTGGTGAAGAGGTCAGACTATCCGTTCTTTCAAATGGAGATTTTTTTAAGGTCAAACAAGAGGCATGAGCTTGCAAAGAATCACACAAAGCAAAATGATTTCTTTCACTAAAGAGTTTTTTTTCACAGCTGCTGCTATTCACACATAACACATGTGTTAGTGTAGTACAATGTATACTGTGTTATTGAAAAGTATTTGCACAATTACAGATTTCTTCTGTTTCTGAATTTATTTATTTTTTTGGGTGAAACTTAGATTTTTAAAATTAGCAAACAAATGTAAATAGGCAGAGTAAAAACAAAATACTGTTCAAACTACCATATGTGAAATTAAGAGGTCACTTCAATAGACCCTGTATGACAAATGAAGTATGCCATAAGACAGTGAACATCAAATGGCAGCCTGCGGGCCACATCCGGCCCACCAGACCTTTCCACCCACCCCCCAACCCCCCCAACCCCCCTACCCTTTGGGTCCTAATGACCCTGAATTGGGGGACTGAAAAGTTTAACAGCAAGATTCATGTCCCAAATATGATTAAATGTCTACGTTCTCCAAACACAACTAAGACTACAATCAAAACTTTTTAGATGGAAAACAAAGCCATTTAAAACATTAATAAACGAAGATACAATAACTCTTGAACTAGATTTTAGAAGAGCATCTGGCCCTCACCGTGTCTGGTGAAAATAAAAACTCTGGTCCTTGAAAAAGTTTAGTTGAAGACCCCTGCTATAAGATCTCAAAAAGCAACACATCATGTCTTGTTTTGAAAATTCAAGAACAAAAGACACGTATGAGGGGGACAGATATTTTTCATGGGTCTCTGCATGGTGTGGTTGTTGTGGTGATAACTGACAGCATCTGTCCACTTTTTAAAGTATTTTGACTTTAAATTAAGGGTTAAAAGTTAGAGTAGCAGTAACACTAGGAACCTCAAACATTTGGACTTTAACACGTTTTTATAAGAATCCTCCACAGAGAAGCCTTATTAAACCCCTAATGTTTACAGAAGATACATTTCCATTGTAATTGGTTTCACTTTCTATATCCATTCCCTGTGCCCCACATTATGAATTCAACATAAAGTTTAGTGTCATTCTAAAACAATGCCCAAACCACAGACATGTTTTATTTCTTACCTTTGAACATTTTTCCATTTCTGCTCCATGTTATGGCTGGCGGCGGTATCCCACTCACTGAGCACCTAATGGCAACATCGGACCCAACCACGGCCAGCTGGCTCCGAGGAGGCTCTGCAATCCATGAAGGTGGTTCTGGAAGACGCCAAGTTAAGTCATGCTGGCTTCAGCCGAAACAAATCCAATCTTTTAGGAAGGGTTAAGGATATGTACAGAAGTAGCTTCTCTCACAGTGATGCTCACTAACCTTGCACTATGACATCAAAGTAGTGCACGGCTTTTCCAGCAGAGTTTTCCGCCATGCACATATATTTCCCCTGATCATTCACATCCACATTACTGATGCTCAAGTGTTTGTTAAAGTTGGTCATCTTATGCCGATCGCTCAAGTTTTCTCCCATTTTTATCCATGTAATTGCAGGAGTGGGGCTACAACATGAAACAACAACAAATTAGAACACATCAAGAGTTGATAGTGGAGGTGGCACAAATAACAATGAAAAAAACAACACCTACAGTCCTCCTGGAAAGCATTCAAGCTCCAGATCTTCTCCTTTCATCAACACTTTCTGACTCTGAACACCAGATGGCAGCAGAAGGCTAGGTGCCCTAACTGGGAGGGCTTCAACTGTGTAGGAAATGAGGATAAATGATCAATTTAGATCAATAAATACTAATTAAACTACAAATCAAATGTTCAGTTAGCTGATTATCATCACCCTTGTTTGGGGTGTTGGTGTGACTTACCGGAGTAATTGCCGGGTTTGACTGAAACAAGAAAAAACATTATCAGCAGTGACAGCTTCTTTGTTTTTCCAAATTATTCAGTTGAGTCCACTAAACACTGATCTCAAACATAATTAAATAAGATTTTATGTTATTATGAAACAAACATTTGGCGGAGGTGTTTTTGGTTAATATTTTTGATCAAATACAAAGTTTCAAATTGAGTTGAGAAATCCAAAAACAGCCTTAGCAACCTACATTTCTCGACCTTGACAGACATGGCAGTTTTCTGGACGATGGTGCGTATACTGGAAAAGGCAGCAACGCAGCAGTAATCTGGCCGGCTGTCGTTCGATAAGGCATAAGAGAAGAACAGGTCGCCGTTGGTTCCCATGGAGATTCTCTCATTCTGCTCAATGTGACGGAGATCTGGAAAACAACATGTTTGAATTAATAATGCACCATACCACTAATGTTTGTTTCTTTTTATTCAAACGGTAAAAAAAATCACCTGGAAAACTAAAGTTAGATATAATAAAGTGAAACACAGAGTGGTAAAACATGTGATCAATGAAATGGAAATGCCCTCAAGAGTTTCCCTGTATAGACCCAGTGAAGAGCATGATGAAAGCAGCGATGCTCTGTGTTGTTCTTTGGTCAAACCAAATTGAATTTAAAATATCGCCATAAGGGCTGGTTGTTGGTTCAGCGTTAAAAAAAGGATAAAATTCTGATTCCAGTTGAACAAACCTGAAGTTGGAGAAAACTATTCTTTCTTTCTTGACCTGAATAAATTGTTAAAACGATGGTGAAGATCAAATCTTGAAAATTGTTTTGCTTTGCATAAATATTAATTAATTCATGTTCAAAGCATTTACTGTCACGGCAATTTAAATGTGCTGATCTTTAACAACACTTGAACCGCATTTAAAGCAAGTGTTGTGCACAGTTGTTTTCATTCTCTGTGCCAGCCGGTCGGTCCTCCAGAGCACTCAAAGGACTCTCGTGCTTTTCTTTATAACATCAGTTGGGTTTGATGGTGAGAGCTGAGGACCTTCGAGGGGTTGGCCGGAAAATACGACTCACGTTGATGAAGCACTTGAGGTTACCTTTTACACAGTAAATCACTTTCCTGCTCAGATGGGGAAAAAAGGCAGGTGATGTGAAGGAAGCTTGTTTTTTCTCAGGTGTAAAGCTTTATTGTTACTGATAACTTAAATTAGAGCCAACAGATTGCTGGGACATCCATGTGTCTCTTGAGGAAATGCCTCACTACTGTTGGTATTGGATTTCATCTGCAAGGACCTTCTGGAATATAGCTATTACCCTCAGAACATCAGTGTGAATCCAAGAAATGGATTTTTAAAATGGTATTTGATTAATAACTGCAAAAATGGTTGCTTGTTTGGTTTTCTAACACGAGCCAAAGTGCATTCCCTGAGTTTGGAACAATCCCATAAAAGCCAAGCATGCTAAGCTTCTGCAGCAATTAGCAAATGATGATTTAGAAGAAAAGGCAGCAAGCCAGGATGTGAAGTTTTGTCTCATTCCAATCATTCACCTGCATGCTCGAATGCACAGAGCCAAAAAGAGCAGAGGCATTGCAAATATTTCTCTAAAGCTTCAGGCAGTTTGAGACCAATAAAGTGAGTTTCATGTCAAATCTCTCAAAGTTTCTGAACAGGCATCTGCTGCATTTCAGTTTCCACAAGACACCACAGACTTGAAATGTGTAGCATAACTGTTATCATAATGACATACATTTGAATATTTTGTTGTTTGACAAGCTGCTCCCTTCAGGTTCATGAATATTGACCAATAATGTTCCATAAACCCCTAAACCCTAACCCTCTCCTAAAACCGTGTGGGTTTTCTGCAAAACTTGACACAAACAGTCAAAAACGACCTTAAAGAGGTGGTTCAGCTTGTTTGCAGTGACACTCAGTTAAATTAAACTCTCACCAGCTGTAGATAGTGCAGTGATAACCACAAATTAGAGATTCTGACCATAACAGCCTAACACAGCACAGACAGGCAGTAAGTCATCTTTAAGGTTTGACATTTCATGCACTTGAATGTAAATACTATTATTAAAATCTGCTTCTGATTCAAACACATGGAAACATTAATCTAACCACCATTTAACCTCCTAAATCTTTTGCATTTGCAGTGAATCATTACATGTCCCTTCATATTCTTACTGAGTTAGAAGTCTTTAAGCCATAAATCCTCTTAGAAATGTTGATATGCTGCTGTAGCTTCAGGCTTGAGAGGTGAAGGCACACACGCTTTGCATCTGGTTTGGAAGGGACGTACATGCAAATGACGTGTTTACTCTAAATAAACTCAGCATCACACCTCTGTAGCCGACTAACAGTATAAGATGGCAAATGAACTATACGTCTTATTGCTCTGCTGCTGTTCTAGTTGATAAAAATTAAAAGCATAATTTCACAGAATAAAAATTAACCTAACAAAAATTCACCATTAGACTAAAGTAATAAATCCTTCTTTAAGGGACCAAAACTTTAAGATTTGGAGTAAATGTCTTCAATTGACCCCAGATTTCTTGTAAATAAAAGCTTTGTCATTTCGTAAAAAGATAAGTATCAGAAGCTAAAATGAGTGCATGTGCAGAAGATTTGCACTAATGTAAAAACACACACACAAGGTACAGTAAAGTATTTAGAATGGAGGTCTGACTATTAATTGCAGATTTAAAGAAAAACTGGATGTAAAACTCGGAGCTTAATTCGTCTGATCTGTAACTCACTAGAGACTGTGGCACTGAGGTCCTCTAAAGTTTACAGCACTAGTAGTGGTCTATGAGCAAGTGCTACGTACATTCTAGTACCTTAGACTGACTGGATGACGACAACCCAACAACTCAAATGTCCAATCAGAATGTGGATTGTTTTGTTGTCTTCGATTTCATCAAAACTCCAACTTCAGACCTTGATCTTTAGACCTTTCAGGTAACCTCACACCGCAAGCAAAAAACACACACACACACACACACACACATCCTCAAACCTCCATTCATCCCTCCCACCCAGCTTTTGCTGTCCCTCCGTCTGGTGATTAAACTTTTATCCTTTGGGGGATATGTTTTTTTTGTTGTTTCTATAAAAGGATCTTTTATGATATCAATGTTTATGTTTCTCACATTGCATCACGGGAGTGTGTGGCAAGAAACTGCATATTTTGCCTATAATTTGATTGCTTGGCAAGTTTTGGAGGAGGAATTAGTGAAGCAGATGGATCATTCTTGCTGTGTGGTTGATTGTTCGGCCCATGGGAGGCTTGATAAAACGTTTTTTTTTTAGGATTTCCTCCGTAAACGACCGTGAAATACGAAAGAGACGACCGCGGGAGACTCAGGCTCTATGAAGAAAGCCTGGATGGTTTGTGACCCCTTCTTTCCACCGGAGCCATCAGCAGCACGTTACTGCAGCAGCACGTCATAGCTGCTGATAGGAACCGCTGAGGTCAACAGAACCTTTTACACCGGAGCCGTCAGCAGCGCGAGTCGGCCGCGTCTCAGGAGCAGCATGTCGCGGCCTTTACGCGCCGGTTCTATTTTCTACGCGCTACGCCTCTGAAACGGGTCAAGTTCGACATTTTTGGGGAAGGAAAGACAGGAAATCAGATGCGGAAACGGAGCGAAGCTCCCGAGATTTTCAGAACAAAGAAACGTACTGCCTTTCGGTTGCTTTACTTTAAAAAAAAGTTAATAACTGTGCGGCCCCATGAGAAGTTATCATCTAGCTAGCGGTCTCCTTTGTTTTTCAGGTCCGTATTGGCGATTATAAAACGGAAAGAACATAAAACACAAACCTTTTGGAGCCATGTTGTAGTTTTCTCCTGCTTGTTGTTGTGTTTACTGACGAGTGACTTCATGCTCTGTCGGTGACAGCTGCTCCTCTGCTGCTTCGCGTCTCGTGGGAAGGGCCAAGCAGCAGCTTAAGCGAGCAAGACGTTCTGCTGCAGTAACGTGCTGCTGACGGCTCCGGTGGAAAGAAGGGGTGAGGCTCATTTTGTTCATGGTAAGGCCTTGTGACTAAGTATTTGTTAATTAGAGAAAATGTTTTAAAAAACAATCTTGAAGCGGAATGCGGCTCGGATGGTCGCCGAGGCAAAAACCCGGGCGTGGGAGGAGTTTTTTTTTCACAAATTGCACACTGAGTCCAACCCTTGCAAAAGTGCATCCAGCAAAGAGAAACAGGCAAATGACGGCTTACCAACAGTCATCCAGTAGAGCAGACGTGGGGGCACACCTTTGGGAGGGTTGCACTGCAGAGTGATTGGCTCTCCCTCTTTCACAATAACAGGATCAAATGTTTCCTTTGGGAACTTGGGTGAAACTAATAAAAACAAACCTTAGTTATTACTCTGATGTGGTGACTCAGACAAGACTCTGCCAAGAGTTTCACTGGTTTATGTAAATGTGGCCAACCTAGAAGAGTGATTTCAATCTCCTCCGTCATGGCAGTTCCCAGCTTGTTGGAGGCGAAGCACCGCCATTTACCCACAAACTGCACAGAATGCTTTTTGTGAAATGAGAAATTTCCATTTCTGCTTCCGGTTGTGATTGTTTCTTCTCTCGGGAAGTCGAATTGTTGACCGTCCTTTGTCCATCGGTATCTGTTGAAGTAAAAATATGTGACAAGGCTTCAGTAGATGTCATGTTTAGTTCAGTTAGAGCTGTAATTAGATGCACTGATGTCTCTTACTGTGGTGGTGGGTTCCCTCTGGCTTCACAGCTGATAACTAGTGCATTGTCATAAGGAAGTATAATTACAGGACTTGGCGTGTGCCTTATTATAGTCGGAGGCTGCTCAACTGTAACAAAAAAACATGCACGGCAATAATAAATCCCACTCAAAACAAAAAGCACAATTATAACAACCACGCCTCACTCTGCTACCTTCCAAAGGAATATCGAGTCCTGCAGCCTCGGAGGTGAAAACCAAAATCAGAACTAGCGACAGGCTCCCTGCTAACCTCATCACAATCTTCTGAAGATGCTGGAGATCAGGAGAATGTGCAGATTAAATGTTGTCACTTGGAATGTATAAGGCACAGGGAACCTGAAAAAGTCAGAAATAGAATTTTACATCACTTCTGTGCAATTTTTTACTTTAAAATAAATATATTAAATGCAGAAATTAGAGTTTCAAGCATTTCAAATGGTCCCATTAACAACATCGTCTTATTTAACCAAGCAGTGTTGCTATTGGCACACTAAGTTAGTCAGAGTTTAAATCTGGATACAGTCAAGAGCTTTAATGGTAATTTAAAAATAAAAGTCCATATACGATTCAAAAGTGACTAGGGTACGAACAAATATGGAAACTTGCCCACACAAGGCACATTTTAAATTATGTTTTTTCCCTTGTCCCTCCAGGTTCTCCATACTATTGCATTTTGTTACTAAGTTATTTCTATGGATTTTAAATTGTGTCAGACTTTAATGTGTTTTGCGATTCAACGAGTTTCCATAGACTCCAACAACAGAAAAAAATGGAAATGTTAAGACCTTGAAATAAAAAGGGTGCTTTTCTGTAAGCGTTTCTAAAATTGGCTCAAGATAATCATATGCATCCGTCATAAGAAAGAGAAGCAGAAACTTAACTTCATCTTTAATATTTCTATTCATCTCATTTCAAAGGTAGAGTGTAAAAATGTTTGACTCTTTAGCACCCCACAGTTCAGACTGGACACTTCAGCTACGATAGCCCACATGCATCAAAAAAGCTTTGTTTCATTGTGGCGATGCGTGCACAGCTGTGAGGGAGAGGGAAACACCGTGGCACTGACAGGCACTTCGGGGTGAAGCACAGAAAACATATCATATCAGCTTTCAACCATCTGCATGTTTTATTTACTGTTTCTGCTGCTTCCTGCAGTCAGCATCTCTCAGGGAATCAGCATGCCTCTGTCCTTGACCTGTGATTATAGAAACTGGCCTGATTAGTCATTTGCAACAGTTGCATCTTCTTGCTCCACTGCTGCTGCTGTTTCTACTACTTCTACCATGTCTTCCACTACTGTCGTATAACCTGCCTCCTTCCTCCTCGCAGCCATGCACGCATCACCACAGTCATCAACAAATTCCAGTTTCAATGCAGCGATCACGTGCTTTAGACTAGGGCTAGCAACCCAACGGGAAGGAGCAGGGTATCCCCAGACTAAAAAGGCTGCCTCGAAGAGAATTGGCGCCATCTTTTGCACACATTTTAGAGGGAAAAAGAGAACTTTCAGTTTTTTATATCCCTTAACAGCTACTGTATTTCAAGATGGCACATGACTAAGGAGCGTGGACCACAGTTTATGTATATAAAAATGTAAAAGTTTAAGCTTTTCGGAATATTTATTATAGATGTTGGTGAAAAATATGAATGAAAACGTTTTTGGATGGATAAACTGAAATTGATGGTAAACAAGACAAATATTCCAAAATGTGCCTTAAAATACTATATTTTATTTACAACTTTTTAATTTATCAAGAACTTTTATGGGCTCGACACACGGGAGGCGACAAACGACCGCGATCAGCAAAATTTGTCGCTGTCGCTTTTATTACCTGATACACGGGAGGCTATCCGCGGTAGTGGCCAGCGGCAAAGCCGTCTACGCGTTCTGTTCCATGGCGAAATCGAAACTTCCGTTGTTTTGTTTGGCTGTGTCAGGTTGGAGGGAATTAAGGTTATTTAAGCGGTTCAGAGTTAATAAAGTGGTAGATATGATGGTTCACAAGGTGCTGCTAGAGTTATGTGAAATCTTACTTCTGATTTTACTACATAAAACATAATAATAATCAACTTTTCCTCCATGTTTGCTCGGAGGTGTATGGAGCATCCTGTCCGCTCATTGGTCAGTGAATGAAACCTCCGTTGGTTGGTCCTCGTCCGAGCGACAGCGATGAAAAGTTGAAAATGTTTAAACTTTCTGGGATCGCGTCGCTGGGTCGTCCGTGCACGACACGTGCACGAGCGCAAAATTTCACATGCAGGTTTTTCACGTTTCGCTTGGTAGGAGGGAGACGAGCGATTATCGCTTTGTCGCGCATGTCTCATTGAAAATGAATGGAGGAGAGGCGATGTCGCCTCCCGTGTGTCGAGCCCATTATACTGTTGAAAGCAAATGAAACTAGGGTTAAAATACCCCATCCCATAATGATGCAATATATCACCAGTCTTTTTATCGTCAGTTGTCCCTTATTGTTTGCAGGTTGTAGCGCAACACAAAGAAAACTTGTCAGGACATTACCATGTGAACTGCAAAGCCGGGCTGGTGGCATCGCATGGAAGGCAACCCAAACGACACAAAGACTAAGCAGTTGTCTGTCACGATCACTAGATCCAAGATGGCAGTTTATAAATTGGACTAAGCCTTTCAGTGTTTCACAGCTTAGTTGTCACAGTACAGAAACCGTGGCGGTGGCGGTGCCAAAAGGATTCACCCTCAGCCTAATCCTGCTATCAGGAGAATGAAGCTGGGGAGTAGCAGCAGCCGCACAAGATGATGCTTAACTATGACTGAGATTGCCTCCGAGTTCTTCTGAGGACACAGACGAGGTCAGTGTAACAGTTTCAGAGAAGATTCAGGATTAAGCTGCTTGAATTCAGCATCAATTAAACAAATTAAGAGATTTAACATTATTTTCATTACAGACTTTGTGATTTTTTAATGCGATCTGAAAAAAAAAGAACTTTTTTTTGTTACAAGTCTTCTTGTAGTTTGGTGCCACTGTTAAAAAAATGTCCAAGTGTGAGATGCTAAAGTTAAGATTTATATCACAGCAAGAAAACTTCAGCAGCCCAGCAGTGTGTGCAGCAAAGTCCTTGTAAGGTGTTAAGCTCACAGTCCTCATGAGCAGCATGACCTATTATGAAGATCCCTTCTGATCCAAACAACACAGCCACAAGCGTGCAGGGAGTTTTCATTCGTGCACAGCAGATGCCTCGCTTGCTGCACACACCTGAATGTTGTGGGTAAATGACATGGCTTTGTAAGCTCGTGGAGCTCTGCAAACCTTCCACTTCAGGTAAATATGCAAACAAAACTGACTATTTTAAATGGAAAAGGAAAAAAAGATTCATCAGAGCGTAAAACGAGGTGGAGTGGATATGTAAACAGTCTACAAAGCATTTGTTTTTGGAGCTGAGGGATCCATTACCTGAACACATGGCAGCTCGTGGTCACAAATCCACAGGGATTGTGTTAGCTAAGCCTTTTGTCGGCCAAAGCACGAAGAGTGTCACTACACGACTAATCCTTACCAACACATGCTGTCACAATGACCCCCGTAAAGCTCTCTGCTCCCCTAACAGCGTTCCTCGTGACCAAGAACACATTTATCAGGAAAAAGTTTGGAAAAGTTTCTGTAAAGCACATGTTCCATTATATTGGTCTACCAAAACACACACACACACACACACACACACACACACACGCACGCACGCACGCACGCACGCAAATGTAAATAAAGAGAGAAGTTTTCATAAGGTAACTGATACTTACAGCTTTTGAGTCATTTTACATCTTCCACGTCCACCAGAGGCCTAAAGCCAAAGTTCCACAAGTCCAAAACAATCAGGAGGTCATTCCAACAGCTCTTTCTGTATGAAAACACATTTCTGACACGTCCTTCCTGGTCCACACCACGCAGCTCCTCTCCTCCTGCACAGACACGCTTGCTCCCCGCCCCTCCGCTCACGCTGCTAAAGAAGCAGCAGCAGACTCACTGAAGCGACATATGTCGCCAAAGCCTCTCACTTGGCAAAGAGCCCCTCGAAGCCAATGACAATGATCAGGACAAAGGATGCACAGCGGGGGTGGGCTGCTCAAACAGCATTAAAGATTGGGTGGAGAGGAAGTACAGGCATGTCTTTCGCTCTAACTCTCATCTTTTTTCCTGGATTTATTCATCCTTCCTCACTTTAAAAGGCTGATGCCCATTTACACCCGACTAAGTAGTTCTAATGCATTGAGTCTTAAGAACAAAAAAGCGGAGTGGAATCATCTTATTTCTGCACATCTTTTGTGTAATTTCATTTCTATTCAGAGCTCCAGGGTATTGACAGAAAACATGCCTGAAATAAACAGGATCTCGTTGACTACCGTGCCCATTTTATAAGCTGTTTATCAGCATATAAAGTAGCTTTTTGTCTTGGAATTTTCATTTTAGACTGTACAAGTAATCCAACTACTTAGAAATTAGGGATGAGTACTGGTAAAATTTTGGCGATACGATAAGTATTACGATATATTGCGATGCACTCAGTCAGATGTTGCTATCGATTTTTTAGACTGAATTTATTGTAGGAATATTCAACAAACAGTCAAAACTGATACTTACCATGTTTAACGTGTTAAGCATCTAAACCATAACAGGGATTTATATTTCAGTGGTGGAAACAAAACCCATTGCACACTGCTGCCAACTAGTGGTCAGCGTTTGAATTGTACCAAAAGAAAAGAAATGAAACAAATGTTTGCATATAAATTCTTCCAAAAATTAGATACATGGCATTTGAATATCTATATATCACAGGTAAAAACAATCACGGCATATCGATATTTTCTTACTTCCCTATTAGATATCCACTTTTATTTTGAAGTTTCAGATATTATCAATGTTTAGGGATTTCTATGGGTAACAGAAACTGCAAAAAATGGCCTCCACATCTCCAAAATTACATGAAAACAGTAAATGTTTGGGTGAATCAATATTTAATGCCTATTTAAAAGAAAAATATGTCAAATTCACTGTCGGGATGAAAAAAAATAAGTGACAACCGCCTTTCTGTTCTAATCAAGTCACTTTTGTTGTGTTTATTTACAGATAAAAATGTGGTCCTGGTTGGAGCAGTGTACTTATCACTGTCTGGCCAGATCAGTAACATATTCAGACATGTCTGCTGTTTAGACTAAACTCACTGCTAGTGCCTGAAGGAATGCCTGGACCTAATTACGCACTTCATTTAAGCCTGTTGTCGTCACTTTAAATTGGCGTTCTTCGTGTTTAAAGGAGCATAGGTCCTGTAAACTTTAGGAAACCTCTAAAGTCCCTTTTGAAATGGCA